TCAACCTGTATATGATTTGCTCAGCGTAGCATTGCTGTGGACCAAAAGTTAAGCACCAGGACAGTTCTGTGTTTAAAAACTTGGTTTGTCTAAGGATTTCTATCAAGCTCTCTTTGTTTTACAGATGGATCAAATTGTAGAAGTAGTGACTTATCATAATGTTCAAACACCAAGTGGTTGGTTAGAAAAGGAGATGCAGCTTTGATTTTTAGATGGGTGCAAGTGTTTCCAATGCAATGGAACCCGGTTAATACGGACACCAATAGGACATGCCATAGCATCTGTATTAATCAGGTTGATTTTAGAGAAATACATGAGCTTTTTTTCATTGGGATAAATGAAAGTGTGCATTATATATGGGTGTCTGTGTTAAGTGGGTGTCCGTAGAGCGGGGTTCAACTGTAATAAACTGTGACAGTGAGCAGCAGATCCATAAGGTCATGAACAGTGGCGAGCCAAAGTTGAGCCATTGTAAATCCTACAGGGTTCTGACATGTTTGTACCATCATCCATCAGCTGCAGAGCAGTTGACCGCAAGTTTCCTTTATCAATGGCGGTCTTGAGCCATTTCCGACCACTGATTGTCATTTGGCAAGCTATCAGGATCCCTCAGAAGACAATGAATATGATTGGTGAACAAGGTTCGCTGTCTACTGGGTTTCCTTCTCCCATTAGTAGGAACATACATTGCAAATTCTCTGATGGGCTCATTTTCAGGCAAGTGGGGCACATGACCAAGGAAGCCTGACTCTTCAATTGGGAGTTGTTTGAATGCCTGACTCTTTCAATTGTTTTGGGGTAGCTGTTTGTTTTAAAACAAAGGAAAAAAAAAATTAACTGAAATAACCTGAAACTGAAACTCGGATTGATTTCCTCTTTGTACAGAGTGTTCATTAGCCAGTGGAGATCGGAAAATTCTCCTTTAAAAAAGCAAAATTCACTGGTAAATGTTCGGTAGCCTACGACTATTTTTATTCAGACATAGAGCCTCTTTTAAAATATTTTCCTGTAATGTTAAACCTTTCTCCTGCTACTAGATTAATAGTGAAAATCTTGTTTGTATTTTAGTGGCTAAAATGTGTGATCAGCCTTCAGTGTGGGATTGCTAAGCATCTAACTCAACCATCTAGCAACAAAAGTTTGATTTCAAACCACATTGACACCTCATCTGTCAAAGGGGAATCAGCAAACTCTACAAATACTTCCACACCTGTTCAAGCTGGAAGTAATGGAGCAGTAAAGGAACCAGTTGTGAATGGTTTGTCATCCAAGTCAGACTTCAACAATCACAGTTCAACATCACCTTCCAGTAGTGGTGTTCCTAATGCTTGCATCAGTAGAGTTGTTACAACAACTATCACTACTACTAGTGGTGGGAAAACCATAACTAAACCACTGACAATTTTGTATGCATCACCGTCTAAGTTGCAAACTCACATGAATGGACCTCTTACGGCAAAGTCAGTCACTAATTCTGGTAATCCGGTCAGTATGTGTACAGTGTCTTCAACACATCTACCTTCTCAGGTTCTGGTGAAGCAGGAACCCAAATCTGTCGAAAAGCCTGTTGCTTGTAATGACTTGAATCAATTGAGTGCTGAATGCAAACAGCTTTCTAATGACACGGCAAAGTTAATCAATGATATTGGCCATTTGAACAATGTCAAGCCAAAAATTACAGTGGAGGGTGTAAAAACAGTGGCTGTTCCTACACCAAGTACTAGCTCTGTAGTGAATACAACTGTTAGTGCAGCAAGTAGAACTATCTCAACTGTTACAGCTGCTGGTAGTCCAGGAAGCTCCAATGGTACAAAAGCTGCTTCAGCGGCTCCAACAAAACTCATTGTTCTAACAAGCACAAACAGTGGGAACATAATTAAGACAATTGCTACTGCAGGATTGAATGCAGCAGGCTCTAGTCAAATCCCTGGTGGTAGTATAGTAACATTAGGTGCAGCAGGAAATGGAACAAGTGTAAATCCTGTAAAACTTGGGACAGTTAATGCTGCCACACCCGCATCTATAGGCTCAAGTCCTAATAAGGTTAACCAGGCAGCAGCTGCTACTTCCATGGCAACTGCTAACGCTATTAACAGCATCTGTGCTGCAGCTGGAGTTGATGCTTTTAATGGTAAGTGGAGTCACCTGTCATATCTGGGATTTTTGTGTCATTTACTGGTGCTTGGTTTTGTTTTGAAACTCTCAGTCTCAAAAGCAGATACAGAGAAGAAGTGTGATTTCACATTACCATGGTTGCAAAATTTCTGGATCACAACAATATGGAGCTTAAGCAATGACAGTGGCAAGGGCAATGAGAAGGGCAAAAAAGCAATAGGTTTAGATTAGCGATACAACAACTTTGCACGTGCATGATGCCTTTTTGTACATTTTCAGCCATCTTTGCACGACTGCGGCATGAAACTTCCTTATTTCACGCACATGCTTTATGGAGTAGGTGAACACAGCACAAAAATTTTCTTTTTCTGCACTTGGATATGGTCCTTTCAGATTCAACACCAGAAATTGTGTGATAAATAAAGAAAGATTTTAAATTAAATTTTAAGCTTGGTGAAGAAATGAGAAGTGGTGTGATCAACATGTCATGAGCATGGGACAAAGAAAAAATCTGAGTTCCAGACTGGAATGGAGCCTATGACCTTCCGTCGTACTCCACTCGGATGCCATAACCACTGAGCTATGAAGGACTCCCCTTTGTAGCTCAGTGGATAAAGTATCCGACCGGTTTACAGAAGGTCATGGGTTCAACTCCTGTCGGGGACTCAGATTTTTTCTCTGTCCTGTGCTTGTGACTTATTGATTACATCACTTCTCAAAATGAAATTGATTAAGCTCGATGAAGTTTGAAGCAGTGCAAATTCACTTTTTAAGTGACATTTTTGGGTTTTTGTCATATAGAAATTTTGCTGCCATGGCAAAATGACGTAATGACTTCTCCTCTCTATTTACATCCCTCTTATAGGTAAAGTCCATCCTCAGAATAAACCAGTATTCAACTTATTTTGATTCTGAGCCCTTAATCAGTCATAAGAGAAAAAGGAAATGCTGATTTAATCTGAAAAGTAACATTTTTTACATACGAAGTACCCACCTTGGGACGAAAGTGTCTAAGGAATGAGTGATGCCCACTAAAGGGATAGTCGGCTTCATACTCACTAAAATGCAAAAATCAGACAAAAAAAACTTGTGGAGAATGAATAGGTTGGACACCGCTCCCACCTGTCTTGTATGATACAGTGCAAACTCTTGTATTCACATGGAAATAACAAATTCTGGCAAAAGTTAAGGCAGCTTTCAGCAAATTCCTACAAGATATGAAAATAATCCTATTGGTTGCTGGTGATATTATTCTCATACCACCAGGCCAGTCAGTCAAGTAATAAGATATATATAACAAGATAAATGGTTTCTGTGTTTGTAATTGTGAGCAATTTTTTCATCAACAGAGTTGGCAAAGTTGGACCCTCGTCTCATTCAAGTGTTGGCATACCAGAGACTTCAGCAGCTTCTCACACAGACCAAGGTAAGGAAGCCCAATGAGTTAATCACAAGGTAAACAAAGTACAAAACATTCAGCTGGTTGAACTCCTTTTGTTATTATTATTATTATTATTATTATTATTATTATTATTATTATTAATATTATTATAATTCTTGTGTACATATTATTAAAGGGCAGTCTCAAAATTGCTACAGATACCTTACTCCAAGTGGTATGTGTCACTATCAGCATTCGTTACCAAAACTTGTTGATTTTTGTTATGTATCCTCAACCAAGCAATAAAGAACTTGCACAAGATAGTAAAATTATTGTGTAGAGTCTAGAAATCCTGCAACAACACGAGTCATGCTTAGTTTCCTTTGAACTAGATTGTGTTATGAGAGCTTAAGTTTGTTTTCTTGAACTAACTGAAGATGTTTTTTCTTGAATTCTACAGCCTGTTCCTCCCAGTCCTGTGGCAGCTAGAAAAATTTCTTTCAATGGCTTAAAGGAGACAATAGTTCTTCCTCAACAAGCTGGTAAGTCACTAGAATTGTTTTTGTTGTTGTTGCTTTCTTATTTTGTTAAGACCTTTAGCTTGGGGTATATCAGATATTCCAGTGAAGGATGTAATATGAAATGTTACAAACATTTGATGTGTCAGTAGCAAGAGTAATATCTGTGCTTGACTATAGCCTTGTGTCTCTATTTGCAGAAGAACTTTTAAATACCAGTAGTTCTCCAAGTTTTTGGCATGTTTTGATATGAACCATTGGCAAATGGTTAATGATCGTTGTTGCTTTGTAGAAATAAATATTGTGGTTCCTGGGGGTGTTAAAGAATTTGTTAAGGTGTTATGAATCCTTTGGCCTTCTTAGCAGAGACAAAGGCCAGTACTCAAGGTGCATTCATAAGCCAATGTTTTTTTGTACTTCTTATGAGTGTATCTTTATGATGTGATAATAAATAAAAATAATTGACATATTGTGTAATTATCAATGTAATTATTTTCAGTTGTGCATTACAATGAAAAAAAAAGCTAAATAAATAGACTAGCTATAATAGGCACTCAACAGCTAGCCATTCATGTGGTACAAAAGTGCCATGCTGGAGAGGAAAAGTCGCACTAGGACAAGACAAACAAAGGAAATAACCTTTTAAAATTATGTATGCCTTTTGTTTGTCTTGTGCCAGTGGGCCTTTTGCGCTAGCAAGCCGGTTTTGTACCACCTGAATGGCTAACTGCAAAGGTCCTATTGGACATTACAGTGATAAAAAGCTAAAAATCAAAAAGTTAAAATTGACTGGCGATACAAAAAATGTAGTTAAGTGACGTGCATGTTACCTACTTGATTCACCCTCCTTTACAGTTCCAGCAGGTAGATCCATAGCAGTGTTGTGTCCACTGACTGGGACAGGCCCTGTATGTCCTATGATTCACAAGTGTCTCTCCCTTGGACAAGGTGATAACTTCACTTTCTTTTAACTAAAACCTGGCAAACATTTTTATTTCATTTCATCAATCTTTCTTTTGCTTCAGTAGCTTTTGCAGTAAGTAAATAGCATCCCAGTATTTATGTTGTCCTAGAAAATATCCACACTCCCCCTGCCCCCGCTCCTCCACCATTTTCATGTTAGTGGTCTTGGTTTGAATTTGATTTATGGGGCCTTTGTCTTTACTCCCACAGATTCATTAACTGAAATCTAGAAGGTTGGAAATGCATACTCCAACATTCTGGGCACCAAACGATGTGATATTTTTGACAATTTTTACTCTGATGGGTGTAATTATTTTGAGGTGCTCTTTGGTGTATTTAGCATTTCAAGGTAGTAATGACTGTTAAGTCTTGGCCTATTTCTCAATTACCAATCAGTAGTGAACTGATTGGTAGTATATAAGTAGGTTGAGTATGAATGTACGTATAAGTTCTGGTAATGTTAACCTGCTGATGATAGTGTCTTAGTGTCAGACAATTATGTTGTGATCAATTGTTTTATTTTCTTAAATTTTGGTAGGTCCAGACATGGATGTTTGTCTTCAGGAATATGGTCACTGTAACTTTATTTCAGAAAAACACTGTTCTATATTCTATGATGAGGTATAAAGCTTCCTTGGGCAATGATCTTTTTGTTAAAATACTAAGAGTCTAGGGAGATTAAGTAACAACAACGGTGCCAGAAACAAGAACCTCACTTAAAAAGTGCATTCGTACTGCTTCAGACTTTATCGTGCTTATTCCATCTTATTCAATTCTTCAAATGTTGGCTATTTTTTCTGGAGTTGAATTTTAAGACTGTATCAAAGTTCAGGAAAAGAAAAACAAAGTTGTTGTCTTGTGCTTAGATCCTCCACAAAACGTGAAATTAGACTTTTTTATGTCTTAGTCATGCAGTGATGGCAAAGAAATGTACAAAAAAGCATGATGCATGTGCAAAGTTGTTGTTTCACCCATCTAAACCTATTGATTTTTGATGTTCTCACTGCCGTTGTGGTTTTCTTTGTTTAAGCTCCCTTTTCTTGTGAGCAGTGATGGTGCACACACCAATAACTTTTTACCTTATGGTATTTTCTCCCAACAGACATCAAAACAATACGAACTCATAAACTACAGTGAACATGGAACATATGTGGACAATGTTTTGTACTCATGTGACTTTTCAGACAAAATTAACAGACATGTTGTCTCATCAAAGGATCTTGACCCATCAAAAGTCAGCAAAAATAAATTGCTGGCTGCTGCTCAAGTCAGACAAAACTCCAAGCCAAAAGGATCACGGAGAACTGTTGGTCTAGGAGTGCAAAAAATTGTGAAAGCTTGTAACTGTACAACAAGCAGTTCAAACTTGATTGGTGGCAGTGGGGCAGGCTGGGAAGGCACAGCACTGTTGCATCATGGGAGTTATATAAAACTGGGATGCGCACAGTTTGTGTTTAGTATAACAAGTCATGCAACCAAGCTACCATCAAGTGCGAAGACAAGTACAAGCTGTGCAAACGATAAAAAGCCCGTGGTCTCATAGTCAGTGTTAGTCCTACAGTTAAAGAATAATATTGTTGTATTTGAAAACTTCACCTTTTGAAGGTGAAGAATTTTAATGAAAAATGAAAGAGCTTCAGAACAAGTTAAATTGCACCTTTTATCTTGATGTTTGCCACAGTGACTGTGATTTTAACAAATTATATTGCGGTTTCTGTAAGAATCGGGAGGAATTCAAGGGTGCTATAGACCCATCAGAAAAATTAAATATTGATTTGTCTTTCTTCCTCCCACAACCTGTCACTAGCAATCAGGGAGAGGTGATTAAAATATGTCTGTGCAATGTTAATGTTCAATTTGGTTTATGGCAACTGTTCTCTATGATAAGGAGAGGTTGAACACGAATAACATCAACAAAATTCTCTGCCACACAGCCCTGGGTTGAACAATTTGTGAACTCAAAACTTTCTTTGGGTGTCAGTTATGTGAAGCCCAAAGACTTGGTTGGAAGTTATAAAGTATGTAGGGTTTTGAAAAGGTTATAGGAGGACTCCATGTAAGAGGCACAAAAATGGTCAGTATTTTTATATTGTATAGGTATGTATGTATCAGAAAGGAAGTGTATATGAGATTTTTATGTGACTGATGTCCAACCTTTTTGAAAAAGTGTATGTAATTTTATTCTTGTATCATTCTATTTAAGACAGGGATGGACAAAATATTTATTACTTGTACAGTTAATGTCCATTGTTGTCTTACAATTCACAAACGCTTTTGTGATGGCAAAGGTGGTTAAACTTTTAACTAATAATATTCTAAGTTACACAAATGTATTGTAATTAAAGTACCGTAAAATTCCGAAAATAAGCCCCTCCATGTATAAGCCCCTCCAAATATAAGCCCCCCAAACCGGTAACGCAAAAAAACCTCCGTTAAATCGCCCCTCCAAATATAAGCCCCCCGGGGGCTTGTACTAGGAAAATTGCCCTCAAATACAAAGTAAAACAAAGCAAAAACGGTATATTTACTTCCAACTATAAGGATAGCCCAAGCGATTTAGAAAAGCAAATTTCCCTCCGTATATAAGCCCCTCCGAACATAAGCCCCTCCAAAAATAAGTCCCTCAAAAAGGGTGTTTGAAAAATATAAGCCCCGGGGCTTATTTTCGGAATTTTACAGTAGCTAAAGTTGGTTTCTGTAGTTAGCTGATGATTGAGAGTTGCATGCAGTCTATAAGTGCACAAAAGTTCCACTTATGTCATTCACAATAGAGGAGATGAAACCCTACCCTGGCATAATATACCTTTTCAGATTACCATTCTCTTTGCAGTTGTTGTCATTGTTTGTCTTTATTATGGTAAAGCGAACAGGAAAATTTCTTGAGGAAAATGCTGTCTTGTAAGAGAAAAAGAAAGCAATCATTGTACAGTACACAAGGACATGAGTAATTTCTGTTATTACACTGAAGCTTATTGAGTTTTGTAAGGACTGACGTTTGGTTTATTCTTCTGTTCTGTATGTTATTTTTTACTCCGAAATCCCTTAATTATTTGTCTAGTGATTCTAAAATAATGTTTTCCCATATAACTAGTGTATTCAAACCAGGGGTAAACAATGGAACAGATTGTTCAACTGGCATGGTCCTGTAGGGCAGCTATTATTAATTTAATTTGCATATGTAATAGTAACCTCTCTCATGATGTAGCCTTTTTAATGGGTACTACCCATGCAACTATTTTGCCCAATATACCGGAATGTTGCTTTTTTGATGAATACTGAGATATCACCGTATTACCGTGTTTTGAGGAATGTGATTTCTTCTTTGCACATTTCCAACTATCTGAACATCTGGAACTGGCTATCACTTATTAACCAAGCAAAGGCATTTAACTGGTAGATTTTTTGGGCCCAGCCAGCACAATAACATTATTGATTGTAGCTTACGCAGCAGATTCTCAAAACAGCTTTTGCCCTTTTCTAGTAAGGGAATGCTTTCTATGCAGACACAATGTACCATCATGATCACCGGGATTCCGTACAGCTTTTAAAGAAGTTGAGGGGAATAAATTGCTATCCCATTGTTGTGTTATTTTTAGAGACAGTCAAACACCGTTAATATGGACACTGACGAGGCCATAGAAAGTGTACGTATTAACGGGGTGTCTCTATTAAGTCTATTAAAGGGCATTCTTTCCCCAGTGACAAAAAAAACTTTAAAGCATGGTTTGACAGTAGTTATCCAAATTATCCCCATATCCCTGACTAGCAAAGCAAGTCCTGCAAACCCCACTTCTTAAAATGCTTATGGCACTGGGTCCCCAAGGGTACTCCAAACCAAGTCTAGAGTATGTGCTTTCCTACTAACCTCATTCCTGGGGTCAGGCGATACCCTGAGAATGAGCTTGCCATTTAAATGAGAAGTGATTTTGGGTTCTTTATTGAGTATGTAAACATAGTAGCAGGTGGCAGTGTATGAGGTGATATCAGAGGTGATACGGCATGGATTCAAATTTGGAGACCTGGTAACAATAGCCGTGAGCAGTTCACCCCTCCCCTAAAAAAAATCGGAGAGAAAGAGAGTATTTCCTTCTGATTTCTTTAAGGGGAAGGGTCATCCGTGTACAGGCTAGGCAACACAAACCCATCAAAAACCAGACTTCCTGAAAGTCCTTCTTCCCCTCTTATTTGAAACATAGGCTATGTTCACACTATTAGTGCCAACCTGAAAAGCTATCCAGTAAAGTATGAACACCTATCCACCCCTTCAGAGATCAGCTCAGTGTAGCTTCTCTCAGTTACAGAAATCGAGCCACAATCATTGTTCTTATATGTGAACTGATGCCCCTGTCCAATATGGTTTTCGCGCCGGGGCAAAAGCCATCCAGTATAGCATGAACATTTAAGCATAAGAGATCTTACTGAAGGAGTCAGTTACATAAATAATTACTGATAAATGGACAATTCCATCAGAGTATGATCAAACCTCTATTTGCAACCACCTCTTGCAAGTGACCACCTATTAATAGACTGCAAAACAGTCGGGTTTTTTTCTCAAAATCAGTAATGAAATCGGTAAATTGGTAAAGGGTGGCATAAGAGTCTTGTGCACGTGAAGCGCACGAGTCTTGCTCTCTGTTTTCAGCCTCGTTCCAGACCTTTTATTTGACTGCTCGTGCATACTTGAATACGCAAAAATACAGACTGTTTTGCAGTCTAACCTATTAAAAACACCAAAATTTTCCCAATCTAAGACCTCTGATAAAAGACTATCTTTCATAAGAGACCATGACCCCTCTTTGGCCTGAAGGTTTTATAATTGTTGTAAGCGACCATCTGATGCATGGTGTGGTCTATTTGTACACACTCCTCCTGGTTCCATTTTGGTAAGCAACCAACTCCCATATGCAACCACTAACTCTTTGCATTTTGGGTGGTCGCTTATCAGAGGTTCATCTGTTGTCATGCCTTCAAACATGATGCACCCAAAGTGAATTGACTCAAAATTTTAGGAAAGGGCTAACATTAAATCAATGGTTTGTCACTAATTTTTCTGATTTGTGACAAAATGATATAGACTATTGACTCAAGGGAAAATTGCATAAGTGACAAATGACTTCTAATTCAAGAAAGTTTCAAATTTTTATTGGGTTTAATCTTGTCTATGAATAAGATGTAAGCCCGTCTAGGACATTCAGTCATCATCATTTCAACAATACAAAATTCCATTCATGCTACTTCAAATACCTATCAGCCACTTCTTTCAAAGCTATTACTCTAAAGTAATTTTGGGACTTCATTTAACTAATTTGTGAACAATGACAGAGACTTGATGGGTTGATATCGTTCCAAATAAGATATATATTTTACAAAAAGTGTTGGCTTTGATAATGATCACAATGATCAGCCTTTGAGAATACTGTTTCAAATGAACAATTCTTTCCATATTTTTTCTACCTAGCTGGATTGAAAACAACCATTTCCCTTGTAAAATAACCCTTTAACTTCCCAGAACAACTTGTTTTAAAATGTCCTTGAAATCCTATCAAATTAAGCTTGTTGTCAGAACAACAAAATTAGTCAGCTAAAGCAGTCTACATAAATAGAACCATTAGAATTCTCATGTAGAAGGAGGATTATACAAAATACAATGATATTATGAAAAATAACTGACAGCAATCTAATAATCCTATTCTGGTTGTTGAACATGGGTAATTTATCGGGTTGAGCATGATAAGATGGTTATCTTTACATGTTTTCTATGAATGTTTCTGTACATAATACTAATATTAGTACATTGTAATTTTTACAATGGCTGTGCTGAAAATTGCTATCCATCATACGCATAGTCTGCTTTGTTATGCATGATGAGTTTGCCCTCTACAAAGTAAAAGCTATCTGACTTTGTCTCAAATGGATGATCAATCATTTCTTGCACTGTGAAAACAAAGAAAAGAGAAAGAGTTTACATGTCAAATAATCCTCTTAACTGTGCATCAGTCTAAAAGGTACAAAGTGGCCATTTCCTGATCCTTTTTTTCCAAGAGGTACGGATTACAACAGAGCTGAGGCCTGTTAAGGTAAAATTCTGACAAGCAACATGGCCTTGAAACAGCCACATAAGTGTAGATGAAATGGCAGCAAACGACAAAAAGATGGGTCAAATACCGACAGGGTCATGGCCTACTCCTCAAAATGCGAAACAACTGTATTTGAAATTCAGACTAGGGAACGTACATTTTCCCCCTAAGAGAGCCTTGGAGCTGTCACTAACATTTCAAGTTGCCAGGTACATTAAATTAGTACGTGAGGGATTTGAACAGCTGAAAAGGTCTTTTGGTTCTGTTTTCCTGTTTCTTTCCTATAAAAATAGCCAGGAGGAAAGTCCCGCCCCCCGGCCCTCAATCATGCATTAAGTAATGCAGACACCCTGGAACCATGAGTTAGAGTCCTTCATGGTTATAGTCCGTAATAATGGGAGTTTATTTTAGGCCTCTAAATTCTCATACAACTTCCCCAAACTGTTCTTCCTTTGAAGAACAAGTTAGCAAATTTCCTGAAAGATTCAAATTTTACAACCTACTGGAATCATGCAAACTGGACTGCGATTATTATGCAATTATGATCCGGACAATTTAAATTTTTTCCTGAATAACGTATTTGTTAATGTCATCATAAACTTAGATTAATACTAAACTGTACATCACAATGTTGTGCATTAACGTTAAAGTGACTTCCCTTAATAATAGCTTTTGGTTCAATATACCAACATCAAAGTGTAACGTTTCAAAATAAACAAATAAAGGATATGATCTACCTTCCCACAAAAAGATTAATCTTGCGTTAAAAGCTGTCAAGGAAAAATTGTTTTGGAGAAACAAGAGTACTACAAGACAATGCCATGCTAAAAAATATCAACTCACTAAAATTAAAATCGGAACATTTTATATAAAACGATCAATTCAAATATTTATTTCCAGCCACAAGTGATTTATTTTGGCGTGTACGGGTAAAAAGAGTGACATTATAAGATAACACATTTAACACAAGTAGAATTGAATACTTACTTTCATCGATATCTAAAGCAGGAAATTCGTAGATATGCTCACACGTGTTCTTGCTGTTTGGTATACAAAATCCAAAGTTAAAATCGAAGTTTTTTAACAGGCGGTCTCTAAAATAGTGACGTTCTATCATTCGAAAATTGTTGACGGGTTTGTCTCCCACAGTGAATTCGACTCTGAAAATAAGATAAAAAAACGATATTAGAATATCGGTAACATAAAATAAGGGGGCAAAGTTAATGGAGGGAAATCCGAGCAATCTTAAAAACAATCGACGATTACAGATAGACAATAGGTAACGAGGAAAATTAGACTACGTTTGAACGTTACCCATGCCACTTGAGCTCAAAATATTTTAGAAAAATATATAGGTCGATCGCACCACCAGTATAAGAAATAGATCTCTGTTTTGGCTAATTTCGTTTCCTTGGGCAGAAAAGGGCTTAACTAAGAAAGAAGAAACTCACGTTGCTCCTACGGTTTTTAACTTCAAAAACTCTGGAGTAAACTTGTATCTGACGAAGCGGCCTGCATTGGGATCCTCGTCATTGTCAATGATGTCTTCCTCAATGTTTTCGGGCTTGGCTATCTCAAACAGTACGTTCCCGGTTTCCATATCACGGATTTTAAAGCGAGTAAAATCGATGTGGTAAACATTTGCACTGGGTTCACAGAGGTAATCTGCAAATGAGAGCAAGAACGAATACATGTAAATACCTAGTTAACACACGAACGACGATGAAGTTCTAATCATTTCCAGCGTTTATTACTCTCCGGCAATTAATCAACGTTATTATACATGACCAGATTCATTGGATCACTAAAGCTGCAAACCGAACAAATTTGTCGTTGCATGCACTTACTTTCTGTGCATTTTCCTAACTTCAAAACGTCATCCGGAGCGACTGAGTCCTTTTTCAGCAACTCTTCCTCTGTAATTGTCTTCTTCGCCTTCGATTGCCGGGCCAAGAAACCGCCACCTTTCTTCTTTGCTCGGCCAGTATCGTCGTTCGAATTGGACGATCTTCCACTCATAACTGTCCAGTTAAAACTACAAGAGTACTTAGCTGTATGCTTACACTAATTACACTACGTGACCGAAAAGAACAGTTATAAAATAAATTAGTTTCCCCAAAAGAGAAGACACGATCAAACATGGAGGTGTAAGAAAATGCGCTGGTTATGGCCAGCGGTATACATATGTTGCCATAGAAACGAAAACGCAACAAACGCGGAGAAAAAGGAATTCCACATCCGGTGTTTCAGCTGTTGTCACGTAAAACTTGGAGATCTTTTCCTTTGTAAGGGTAGTACGTAGTGTAAGGTGCCATACTATTACCGAGAAAAAACAGATTCTAGACATCAAGAGACTGGTCCCTTGGCCCTTACGTACTAGTCAGTAGCAGGAGCCGATTGTCAGTAGCCTAGCCACAAGGTGCTCGGCAACTTTTGAGCATCTGTCTGGCAACTTTTGATGTTTGTGGCAACTTGATTGGATTTTAAGCAACTTATGGCAATTAGAAAGTTCTATAATAAGTCTTGTTATGTATGCTTGTAAGAAAATTTCAGTTCTCAACTCTCCCCCTCAGTTGGAGTACCCACCTTATGAGAGGTCAGCGGTGTGCGAATAAGAATCGAAAATATTTCAGACAGTTCCACACAGTTCAGAAGAACAACTTAATTTCCATCTCGATTCCTCTGCCTGGAATGAAAACGCTTCTTTCAAAACAGGAAAATGCACTCAAGGAAACCGTTGAAAAACCTAAAATACTGTAATGCTGCGTTAGAATGAGAGCCAAAGAAAAAATATCTTGATCTGAAAGGGTTTTTGTCTCTCAACGTCCTGTTTACATAAACGACACTGGCTGATTATGATTGAGGGTCTGCTTAACCAATGATGAACACAGTTTCTCGATAGTATCAAGAGAATGACTTTGAGAAAGACATTGTTATAAGGAAGACATATCTTGTTCAGTTTGCCTCTGTCAATATTTCGTCAGTGTGAAATGTTGTACTTTGATTTTGCAGGAAAACAAATGACCTCACAACTTTGTTGCCAGTAAATTTGAACGTCACCCGCAGTAGATGCGTTTAATAGAAAAAAGCTAAATGCAGAAGTTTGAAAATGCATTACTGCTCTTCACCAGCGGCACCTGTCTTGTGAAAAAGGCAAAAATGGCTGTATTAACGAGCAACTTTGGAGCTACTCTTTAGAAAAGTCGAGCAACTTTAGGCAACTTTTGAAAAAACAATTGAATTTTGGAGCAACTTTTTTTCAAAAAACACAAATGTACAACGGTTAACCAACATAAATATATTTCAAGGATTTTTGTCTCGAATTGAACTTTTACAAAAAGGGTAAAATCGATAATTCTGTCAATTTTCCCGCAGCCAAAACTGTTGAGTTGAACAATTCAACTTGAGTTACTGAATTGACTGGTGTATTATAATCTGTTGATCTTCGTCAGCAGACTTTCTGTGCTCCACCGAAAAAAAAGCCTGATCGTAGGTTAATCCTCTCTTGTAATACACTTCTAAAACACCGCGCTTTTTAAGAAGGAATTTCTTTTTTACTTGGGGACAATTTCTTCCGCAGGACTCTTCCTCGGGGGAGGGGTACGTGAGGAATTCTAAGACTGAAATAGTGCTCCTAATTTACTTTGTAAATTAAAAGACCTAGAAATAATTGTATGATGTAATCCCAGTGATGCCAACTCTCCCGCTTTTGGCGGGAGACTTACGCTTTATTGCCTCGTCTCCCGCTTTTTACGTCCACTGTAAATATTGAATACTTGGTAAAAAATAAAACAGTACATTATGTACATCATGTAAAGCGTCATATAATGTCTAAAGTCATTCCCATTGGGGGCTGGGTCAATTTTTCGGGGGGGGGGGGTTCGTTGAAATTCCGGAGGTGGGGTAGTGAAAAAAGACAGTCTCCCGATTTTAGGCCTCCAGAGGTTGGCATCTCTGTAATCCCAAAGTAAAAACTAACGGTAGTAATGTTTTAAAGCTCTTTAGAAAAGAACAAAGAACTTTAGCACTGGATTAGTTGTTGTTAAATGCCTTAAAATGCCATTTCTAGTGCAACGAAGAAAGGACAAGGAGTGGCAAAGCTTGACCCTCTTGACAAACTACGTAACAAAGTGATCATTCTATCCAATGTTCAGCACAGTCCAGCTTCGCAACTTGAATTGAAATTTTCATTTTCGCCCTGTCCAAACTTGTGCATGTACCAAACTAATGTATCATGCAATTCCAGCTTCGCCCAAGCCTCCCGGATAATCCTCTGGAATTTTGACACCAGTCTGGGTCAACAACAGGGCCAATCCCGGTATCCCGTACTTCGAGTCTTCGTCCCTTACTGCGCATGCTTCGTTTCCCGACCACTGGTCAAGGGGAACGAAGACGCTGCGTTCGAAGGTCCATGTCTCGTAATTCCGAAGGTACACTGCAGCTTAAAGCAAAGAAAACGTTGAGCTGGAAAGATTACCGATCATTACCGACTTTGAAATTCTGAGAAGTCAGATGGGCGTGCTTGTTCACAAATACCAACCATCGGCATCGTATTAGTTATTGCGTTTTCAGTGAGCAAAGACAGGCGAATCCGATATCTCTGGGCTAGTGGATTTTGGTCTTTCTGATCTTAACTTGCCCGATAAGTGAAGTTTTTTGGAGGTACTTAAATTACAAAAGAATTGTAATCAATCCCGCTCGTCAAAACTGTTTTCTGGGCTAACTCAAATGACTCTTTGGCTAGTACATGCTAGCTACAGCTTGCTCGACAGACAAGCTATAAAACTGACTTTCTTTGCTCGGGTTTTACGACCAAGCTCAAGGCGAGGGAGGGCAGCATTTTTTCACTCCCTCCCTCTTCCCGTCGCATGTGGCTCGCGCTTCCTGCTCGCCAGTTCTGCAGCCGTTTTGTGCGCCCCAGGGGAGGAAGATGCAAACCGGACTTCCTTCATATGGAAATCGAGCCTACGTCAGTGCCCATCCGCTTGTTGAGATTTCTGGCGGTAGTCGCGGCGCAAGTCATGACAGTTTTGGTGTTAAGAGAGAAGAATCATGGGAAAGCTTCAGAAGCACAGAAGCATGTAGGAAATTCCCATAACCCATCGCGCCGCCACTACGGCTGAATAGCGACCTTACGATCCGACAATGGCGACGTCCATGAAAACGTCGCTGAAAAATAGACTTGGCATCCTTTCACTTTTTTTCGCGATTATTCCAAGGGGCCCAGTTACTTAAAAGAAGGGAATTTAGTTTGGCGCTGAAGAGAAGGGACCGCGCCTAAGTTCTGACAGAGATGGTAGAATTTATCGCCTTGCCGTTCCTGTTCCCAAGTTAACTTAAAATTTGGTCATTTCACGTCGTAGTTGTGCAGCGACTGCAAAGAAATGTACCAAAAAGCGTGATGCACGTGCAGAGTTGTTGTTTTTCTCGTAAAACCTATCTCTTTTTTGACGTTCCCGTTGCCGTCGCCGTCGTCGTTTCGTAAGGTCCCTAATATCCCAGAAAGCACCAGGGTACAAGGCAGCGATAAGTGCAGACAAGAATGAGAACTTGTCAGCAAACAAACTTGAACACTTAACTTCAGGAGCCTGTTGGAAAGCTCCTCTCACCTCGACCGCTAAATACACTTCCAGAGGACAAAAGGCAAGGAGGCTAGCAAGGACCCTTATGGCCAAGACATCAATGAATCTGAATTTCCACAGGAATTTATTTAAAACGGGAACCGAAAGCTACTTACACAAAAAAATGCTGAATTACATTTCACTGACACACAAATGAAACTGTTTAGAAGTGATACAACACTTGGTAATTAGGGAGCTTAAGCAACAACGTTTTTGAGCGACGCACGTCAACCGGAAGTGGCCTTTTTTCATTTTTTGACGGTGGTTTCGCGCAAATTTTCAGTCAAATCGCCTCTATAACAGTAAAGAAGCTAAGAAATACAAATTTTATATCATCAAGGCATGTTAAGAGGGAAAATACCTCACTTCCGGTTGACGTGCGTCGCTCAAAAACGTCGCTGCTTAAGCTCCCTAATAACTAAGCAAAACCACTGACTTGGATACCAGTGCCGGATCCAGACCTTAGAGATAAGGGGGGGCGGTCTCCAAAAAAAAATCTTTTCGGCCCTTCGGGCCTCAGTTTGGACTGAAAATAAGGGGAGGGGGTGGCGCCCCCCCGGGCCCCTCCCCTGGATCCGGCACTGGATACATCTACGAAATAAACAAGATAACTTTTGTCTTCCAAAGTATCTTTGCAGACAAAGAGAGGAAATGAAATAATTTGACGTCGGTCAGTTACTGCCCTAATGATACGCATTGCTAAAAGCTCTTGACTTTTTACACAGTAAAAGAAAATTTCAACAAATTTACGTACATTAAGAAGACTTTTACAACAGATTTCAAAGCCGGGTTTAGCTCCAACCAAAAATCATAAGACAGTCAGATAAGTGAAACAAAACCATTAAAAATCCGTCGGTTCAGTTTCGGTAGTTTATGAAGTGGCAATTGGTTCGTTTGAGCACGCTCATAAAAAAGCCAAGGCTGTTATAAAAGCATTTTTTTGGGTTTATTTTCGCAAAAAGTAAATATGAAAAAGGAAACTGACAAATCCATAACTGTTCGGTGTGAGGTAGTGGAAAGAAGAGTTATCAAACCCGACCAAAAAACCTTTAACTAACCAAGAAATGTCAGCCAGCAAATCACGCCCTACAATCTCTTCATAACTTGTTCCGACACGGGTGACCTATGTATTCTTCTTATCTACCAAGACTACATGATAAGTTCTTCAGGGTAGGCCATGTTGTCACAATGTACGTAAAGGCGTCGGAAATACTGTTACGTTGCGTGACAGAGACACTCTCAGGATGTCACGCACTGTCGTTTTCTATCGTGAGTAGAATTTAAGATGGCGATCAAGGCCAACTGAAGCAATGAATGAAGCATGCTTGCCGAATTTTACTCCAGTCACCACACCAGAGTGTTCTAAAGAAAGAAAACAAACAGACAAGTTTCACCATTGAATAACTCAGATTCAGATGTAGCAAAGCATAAATTGCACTTTTTTCAACCATTAGGCAGTACGGGTAATCGAATTATGCTCGCCTCGTACCCAGACGTCTCTCTCGATGAAAATTTACGCGCAAAGGAAGGCGGGAAAGGGGAAAACCGGCGAGACGCGCTTCGCTTCTCGTCATTATCCTTCCCATGGTCCTTTGCGCTTCGTCACCAGTCACTCGCGTGTCACTCGCTTTTCGCACTCGCCTCTGTGCGAGAAGCGAAGCGCCTGAGGAGGATCAGGAATTACGCCCTGTTACGCCCTAATAGTCGAACTCAATTTATTCTCACAATGTACATTGGTCTACAATGCTTACTAGTGAAAATTAACTATAGTAATTTATGCCTTAAGGTAGGTTTGGTACATGAAAAGTTCGACGTTTGAAACGAAGTCGCTCCACAGTCGAAATTCCTATGTACTTAATTCAAAGGATTGGGTTTGGTAAATGAAAAGTTTGACGTTTGAGCTGGGCCTAAAAAGCAAAACAAAGCAATAGTTTATAATATTAAACCTGGAACTCCTCATATCTTTCAAAGTCCACTAGTTACTCTGTTTGTTTGTTTAGGCAAGAATATTAATTTAGTTCAGCCCCTTAAAAATAAAAGGATTGGTCCGAAGAATTACATTTTGGCATTTCGTTTTGCTCAAAGCACATGAGGTGATATTCAATTACTACGGTGCGAACTGGAGCTGAGCATAGAATTCCTCCCACTTCTTCAATGACAGATATCATAAAACGTAATAAACGCGCCACATACCTGCAAATGAGTTGATCATTTCCCACTGTTTAACCAAATATATCCTGCAAAAACAAAAGGTCAACAATACTAAATCTGAGGGTGTTTAACTCCTATACTTACACTCTTCTAAACACCATTAAATCCTCGCAGGCTGATACCAACAGTAGTTTCTCATACACAACGGGATAAGAGCCATTCCAACCCAACAACGCAACCTGACTTTTAATATCAAGACCACAAATAGTTGCTAGTACGGTGCCAAAGAGCTACAAAAAAATGGCTGACAAGAAAATGTGAATAGATACCATATAAACGGAATCTATGACACTTTTTCAAATGCTGAAACAATCGAAAATACACTTGAAAGGTGTGACAGCTCAGGCAATGGCCGATGGCAACAAAACAAACTAAACTTTGAATACTACGTGATTCAAAGACCCCACGCATACACTCAAACCTATACTTTCTAGCTGTGTGCAAGAAAAGAATTCCTGCTTCACTGGTTCCTCTTTCAGCAGAAATTACAAGTTTAATCATTATGTTTATTCCTGACAGATAAGATCTATGACTTACTGCACTTCAGACCCGCCAACAGCTAGATAGGTACCACTCTGATCAAAACTCAGTGTCTTAACCTACAAAGGAGAAAATTTACGGCATAGATGATTACCATAAAATGAGAACAGTAACTGGAGAAAGTGTAACAGTTATACTATTAGCAAATGGATATTGGTACTTTGTCTCTTAACTTCAGAGAACACAAGTTGGTTTAGGTAAGTCTTACAACAACATACCTCAAATCTGTCCTCTAATGTAATGGTTTTAAAGTTCTTCAGTTTGCGCAAATCCCATAGTTTAACCACTGAGTCATCAGCTGAAGTAGCCAAGTAGTATCTAGTAGGAATAGGAAATAATTAATAAAACAATCCAAAAGTTCAGGCTGCACACATTCAAAAAGCCTGTGTAGCAATCATTTCCTTTACATTTTAGCCAAGCAGGTGAAGCGCAGGAGACATGTGAGAAGGGAGAAAATTAAATTTAATGTTTTGTTGCCTTTGCACATCTCTCGTGCTTCTCCTGCTTGACTAAAAGGAAACAGAAACAACTTCTAAAGAGGCTTCAGTGTTTCTTAACACTCACCCGTTTTCTGAGAAGGAAATATCTGTAATGGGTCCTGAATGTCCAGGAAACTTAGCGACATTAGCACCTTCCTTAAGATCCCAGATCTTTATCACGCTAAAACATCAGCACAAAATAAGTTAATGACGTAGCAGACAAACAATGGAAACATTATTGATCCCAGTGCTTACGAATGGAAATTTCCTTACTTTGTACAAAGTTCACATTAAATGGAAGTGCACTTTGCTGCTCTAGATACTGATTGTTTCAGGCATTCCACCTAAACACTTAAATAATTTGAAACAAATACAGAACAGTCCTCATTTCTTGAACCTTTATTTGTTTTTGGAAATTCCGGATAATTTGAACAAAACCAAACTTCTGAGAATAAAACCAATTTGCTTTTCCCATGATGGTTAGTAAAACTGGGATTCCACTGTAATACAAAAAGAACATAACAAGAATACAATCTCCAACTGGCTAGAGACAACCAGTTGTCTTATAATTTTACAAGTATGGCCATGGACTGGAAATCGTGATGACCAAGAAATCCTAAAACAATGGATTGTCTCTGAAAGGTTGGGCACCCAGCCACCTTTCCTCTTGCTGACTCCCTCATTTTCTCTCCAACTGAGAGGATAGAACTCAGAAGTTTTCCAGAGTACAAGTGAAAATTTTAGGTTCCACCACATTGCCACTATCACTATCCCACACTAGTGTTACCAGTCAAAATTGATTTCAGGTTAGGGTAATTTTGATTTATCTTAGGTTGATTCTTAGTTTCCTTTGTCCCCTAGCCCTGGTGGACAAAGGAAATTGAGAGTCGACCTGGGTTGAAAAATTTTAACCTGCCCCAGTTATTCAAAAGTTGGATAGCGCTATCCATTGCATAAATCACTATCCAACGGATAAGTGTTAGGGAAACCAATTATTGTGCTATACAGCGGATAGTGATTTATCCAGTGGATAGCCTTATCCACTTTTTGAACAACTGGGGCCTGAAATCTAATTTGACCTGTTACATATCGAATACAATAGTTCCAAGACTAGCTGGAAAAGAGAATATTTTCAAGGAGTTTTCCAGACCCTGGAAAATTGTTTTTGAACTTAAAAGAGTTTTTCAGCAATTCAGGAAGGAGTATTTAAAATATAGTATTGATAGTAAGACAGAATTATATGGTTGCCAGACAACAACACAGACTTCACAAACCTGTCTGCTGTTCCAGTTCCAAAAATAAGACCATCAGGATGAAACTGGGCACAAGTAAGGCCTGCAAGTATGGCAACAAAGAATTAGAGACTGGTTCAGATTTAATGTGATTTATTTGGTGTACTGCAGAGTTTTCATCGTTGGCCAGTCTGGCTTCTTTCTAACTTCCACACTGTTGTCCTTGATTTTAGGGTGTTATGATTTTCATTTTTTGAAAAAAATGTTCTGAAATTTCCAATTATAAGCTATTGCCTCAGCTTCATGAAGCAAGAAAATGACTCAGGGTGGTCAGAAAGTTCCGAAGTAGATGGCTGAGTTGTCAAAATAAGCAGCCAGTCCAGGGATATTCTATTTTAAAAACATCATCCATAAAGAAATGCCAAGCAGAGTAGCCGGCCGATACTAACCAAGTAGGCGGCGATTTTCGCCGGCAGCCGGCTACTTTTGATAATCCTGTGACTTCAGTTGATAAGGCTCAAAAGAACATATTTTCACTTGTACTGTGAACATTTCATACTTTAGACACCAAGGCACATGATTGGTCAAGCATTTAAGGAAAACAAATTGTAAGGTCTAATATCAATTTATTAATGATGTAAGTAGCAACTTGTTCTCCTAACTGCTCTCAGTTGTCAGACTTTGGTTGAAACCATAGACATTTTCCTGAAATTACCAATGTATTAGGGAGAAAGCCATAAAATCTAGCGCAAAGCTTCAAATCGTTGGCTAATCTAAATAAAAGTAGCACCTTCATGCATACAGTGTAAGTGAGAGTCAGGAACCTCAAATAGTTTGGACCATGGGTTGACCATCCTTACAGGGATACAGGGGACAACTTAAGCTTAGAGGTAGGAGAACCCAAATGGTATTCTTCGTTTAAATGTAAGGCAATGGATTCAAATCCTGTCAGGGACTCAGAAATAATTATTCTTCTTTGCCTTATGCTTGCAGCATGACAAGTATTAATGTCTTTCTCATTTTTGATATTGAGCAAATTTCAGGACAAATTTGTATTTCTTAGTTACCTTGATTGATGTTAGGATCTGAGAGACATCTTGTGAGGACGTGTCCAGTTCTGAGATCAGAGAATGCCCAGTATTGATCACCAGAACAGCTAAGAAGGTAGTCACCTGACAAACCAAGTTAACAACAAAATATATCAGCTTATGGTTACGATAACAACTTCAAAGAAAAAGATCTACTGGTAGTAGTGATGAGATTCTCATTTCACTTTATACTGCTACCAGTTTAATAAACATTCTTACCATATAAGAATGTAGAAAATGATCACCTAAATAACGGGTGCTTATGAGGTAATTTCATATAAAATTCTTCTTTTGTTTCATAAGCAAACAGAACACAATTTGGAAGGAAAAGATAGGTCAGTTGGGACTTCTTGCAGGTGTACCGATTGAGGATCTGGTGCAAGCAGACTTATAAGAATACAGTATCAAAGACAGTATTAGCATTAAAGTAAGCACTGTGCTGAGAATTAAGTTACCTGTTGCATGAAGACTAAGACCCGTAACTGCTTGATCATGTGCCTGAAAAACAAAGGTAAAGAGAAAAGAGGTGTTTAATATAGAAGGAAAACTTTGCACCTGGTGATTGTAAAGAGTTAAGACTGACTAAAGGAAAAAAAGTAAAAACTTTTCAACATTCAAACCTTTATAATGTGAGAGCAAGATGCTTGTGGAATGGACCACACTCGAATGGTCGCATCTGCTGATCCCGTGAATCCAAGGTCCTGAAAAGTAGCATTCAAACAATTCACTTATGAAAACAAGGTCATTTTCCTGATCCCCTAACTCAAACCATTTACCACGACAAGTAACATGGTTACCTATAGACCAGAGGTCTTCAGTACTGTTATAAAAGAACTTAACAAAGTGATTGTCTTTTAAAGGCTTAATTCTTTGCCTCCAGTTTAGTCTTGATGCCAATAAAGGGTCTATGTGAAGTAAAATGATTAGGCTGAAATTTGATGTGGTGGAGCATCCTACAATTTACAAATAAATCAAATTGATTTTTTAAAGGGAACAATTTTAATTAATGATGGTAATGAAAAGTATACCTCATGTGGATGATATAAAACATTTGTAACTTTCTTGGAGTGTCCTTTGAGAGTTGCAATAACCTAGATTACAAAACAATCAAATTAATCAATCTTTCCCATGAAAGAAAGAGTAAACACAGAAGAACTATAAAAAAATATGCTACCTGTCTATGAACCTCAAACAAGTTGCATGGCAAAGCAACAACAAAGTCAAAACGAAAAACTTTGTTACCCAGTAAATAATCTTAATACAGCTACCTTACCTGTTCTGTGTCACGGTAAAATACCACAGCATTTTTGTCAAGACCACCTAGGGAAAGGAGAAAGCAATTGTTATAAACCACTTAAAAAGAACATACACTCCACTAATGTAATTGACACCTTATATACAACCTCTATGTGGACATCCCTAGTAAATAACTTCCGTTAGGTGGAAACCTCTCCTTAGCATTATATACCAGTAATGTTGAGCTCCGTGGCAATGTGAAACAGATGATAGAATAGAAAATTAACTCCGCAGAGATAATGTACCCTTCCTAATCTTTCCTTGCTGCTATCCACCACCTTAAATTACCCAGAACATTCATTTACATCATAAAAGTGTCATAACAATCATTTAAAATAAATTTGTACAATTAATAACAAACCTGTGATAACTCTGGACGTATCTGCAGCGAACAAATCCAATGCCAAGATTCCAGGATTACTTGCACTGTGAAGACCCTAAATTTTAAAAAGCAATTATTTTGGTAAAATGCCTCTAACTAATGCTGATAGTTGCTCAACACTCACCTTAAGAAAAATCAATGTTATTGTAAGAAGCAGAAGACATTAAATCCTGTAAGTCCCAATACTGATAATTGCCAAATTTCTCCTTGTAATAAAATTGTTTAATCAATCAGGGATGTAATGAGAATTAAGGATATGATCACCCAGTATCAAATCTCACGTTAACTGGACACATTTGTCCCATTACTACTGTAAGCAGATGAGACAAGAAAGGAGAACATCTATTTTGATATTTGGTGCTGTAGGGTTTATATGTTAAAATTGCTGAGTGATTCATCAGCAATGTTTGGATTGGGAGGATTTTGTTTTTAACTTACTGCATGTGAGGAGATGGGTTTGTAAGATCTTATCTCATCCACTGTACTCAAGTCCTCTGGAACCTTCTTGCCTCTCTACAAGGAAACAACATTAAAACACATTTCATTAGAGGTTCCGTTAAGATCTTGAACTCGTGGCTACAAAAAGTGTGATGCTACATGTCTTGAATTTCCCTTTTTCAAAATTATATTTCCTAGCTACCAAAGCAGACCACTTAAAGCTATTTGGCTGTCACTAAAGTTTTTAGTAGGCCAAGATGAGTGTTTTCAACCAACTGGCTTGGGTTTACATTGCTAATATCTACGCAAAATCCCTGACCCCAGCCCTTCAAGACAGCCCTGCTTTGAGACAGACATGTGGAGCCTTCCTTCCAACCTTAACCTGTGCAGCACCTAAACTGATTTCCTGTCAAGGCTGTGCTCTAGCAGTACCCAGTGGCCACTGGGGTCTAACTTTTGCTCCCAGGCAACTAGAAAATCTCAGGTTTTTCATAAAAATCATATGCTGGGCACCCTAGATTTTACAGGTTTCAGTTTTTTTAGAACACAGCCTTGCTAGTTAAAGAAACTTTGGTAATCCATTCAAGGTGGGGTTGGGGGAAGGAATCAGTCGGTCCGAAGCAATATTTCCCACCAGCTTACATGAAACTGTCAATGCAGACAGTGATTGTAAGTCATTATTTCTCACATCCATAGGATACCAGATTTTCTTTCCAAGAGGGATTCACACAAGCATGACAGAAGGCAAAGCTTTTTTATTAACTCTCAATGTGGCACTTACCTTCTTACGTTCAGCAGTGAGAAGAGTAGCCTTATCTTGCAGCTGTAGATTTGAAAAAAAAAACAGCAACAATAGTTTGACATTAATTTGTAAATATCAAGAGAAAAATGACAAAAAAATGGAGACAAAATTAACATCCAAAAGAAAAAAACCTTAGCTGAAATTCTAAAGAAATATGTCAAGCAAACATACCTTCTGCAAAACTTCCTCTGTCATTCCCTCTTCTTCTCCAGGCTAAAAAAGAGTGACATGAACAATAATTACCATCTAAAGACACAGTCGAACACCATTATTTTGTGAAAATGCTTTTAAAACTGGAGAGCAAAAATCATGAAGACACTAAAGAAAGTTATATAAATAACCTCTTTTAAGAAAAGAAGCTCTAAAGACTATTTGTAAAAAAAGACATGTACATGTACCTGTCCAGCAACCTCCATTGCCTCTTCCATCTACAAAAAAGCCAAGAAATCCAACTAGTTAATAACTTGGACACCAAGCTTCATGTCTACAGTCTCACCAAAGAAAAATGTCACTCTATTTCTCTCTTGTAACTTCAAAGCTCGGTTCTCTTCTATTTAGCTCCAGCCTAAGTGCCCTTATATTAAGCTCCCAGTCTAGGGTACACAAAAATTATAACAGCTTAATTTAGAAGTGAAATTAATGAATCAAACTCATGAGAGTTGAATGTTGACAACCTAGACTGTTTAGTTGTGCATACATTAAAATTTTGTTTAAAAAAAAACATTGCTGGGCACATAATGACTTATTCTAGCAGTCACAAAATATGAATAGAGGTGATAACAATCATTTTGCTATGAATTTCAAAAACTGAGAACATGAACGTATTTTTTTCTAATAAACCTACAGTCTAGCAAGAGCAGAGGGTACCCAGAGGGCTGAATTGAGGAAATACTGCCGTTATAACCCTAAAATATACAGTAGAAGAATTTCCATGGCTAAAACTTTTCTGTAGCTTCAGAGGACCAACATATTCATGATCAAACAGCTTGCCCTGCTTTACTTGACAGTTCAGGTTAATGCTTGGTACAAAGGTTTCTGTTAGTAGTAAGTAAGCACTTCCTACCTGTACTGGTGTAGCTGCGGGAACACTGACAGCCATACCTGCCTGAGGTTTGAGCGTGGCCAAAGCTGGTGTTAAAGAAAAACTTGATTCAGATTCGATATTTATTTTCATTGATGCACCAATTGGCCACATTCTAAATGAGCAGCAAACTGGTTTGACTTATCACTGCAAAAACTCTAGGGATTGCTTAGAGGGACAAGGTTATTCTGTCTGAAAATGACATACCTGGTGATCAGAGTCTTTAGGAATTCTGTAATAGTGAAGAACAGTTGCATTTCTGAAACTGTTATCTCATTTTGGAATACAGCAGTTGTAGTGCATCATGTTTGTTGACCTTCATGCTGCACCTAAAAACCATGCATCCCAAGCAACTTTGCAGTTGCATATCATACCCAGTTTTTCACTCGTTAGAACATGGTGAATACTATCTGAATTTAAATAACATTATTATAATAAAGGTAAAGTACCTTCACGGGCAGCAGTAACTTCCTTAGTCAAACGAGCAATAACACGACAAGCAGCATCATGCTGGTATAGTGCGTGAGACAACTCTGAAACAAAGAGAGCAATATTATTGTACAGTTAGGTACAACTAACCAAATGTAGATTACAGTTGAAGCTCTTGTAAGCGACCACCTCGGAAATTTGAAAACGTGGTCATACCTAGAGCTGGTCGCTTACAACAATGAGCTCTCATAATATAGACATGGCTAAAAATTATGTGCAATTGGTCGCTAGGGAAATGACCTTGAACTCTTACAAAGACAATACTGAACTGTGCAAGACCTTTATCAATGAATCTTTGGCCCAGTGTGCAGTTTCATTAACGTGGCAATTTATGAATAAGTATTATAAAGCGAGAAAGACATTACAAAACAAATCTGATTCGGATTAAAGCAGCATTAAACTTAAATAACTAACCTTGTCTGGCTGTTTGAAGCTGTTGTCTCAAAGTAAAACTGTGCAACATGCAGGCATCCTGAGGAATACAAATAATCAAGTACAATCAGGTACAATAGCCCTCAAACTACACTACAGACAAGCTACATGATGGGAAGATATGGAACCACTTTAAGAACAAGTTGGAGATTTTCTGTATTCTTTTGTTCCTTCAACTGCTTTTAGGCAATACCTAAAATATTGCATAATAGTTTCATGATAAAATCCAAACATATGTTATCACCATTTCAAACACTGTTGGTGAAACAATGATCATGTCCAACTTATCACAATTTAAATGACAGCAAGGTTAGAGATCAGCTACAGTTAAATAACTTTGCATCATCTCTTACCTTATAGTTAAAAATGGTCATGATTGTAACCAATACTAATACCATCAAACAATATATATTATAACAGTGCACGAAACAGGCTGATTTCCTGGCTTAACAGTAACCACATCTGTAAACATCTGTACCTACCCATTCATCCTGTAGAGCTTTCAAGATTGCTGGGATACTGGTGGCTGAAGGAGGCCTTGGTTTTACCAGAGGGTTCACTGAAAGGGGAAAAAAGGATTCAACCTTTACCACCGAACCAATTATTTAGTGATCAACATATAATTATATTTCTACTTAATGCTTCAAAGGTCAAGGGAATAATGAAAACGATCACTAGCAAAAGTAAAAAAATAACTTGATAGTTGAATGACCTAATTTCTTTTTATCAATACCGTTTGAAATGTGTGCACAATATGCACTGATGTTAGGGATTAAAAGGGAAGAAATGATATTACTGAGATCACACCAAATGTTTCTGTGAACAAAATGGAATGAAAAACAAGGCCAAGTATGTCATTGTTTAATTCAACTCTTACATCAACTTTCATTTTCCTTTTTAATATGTTCATTTTTCTACAATGTCGAACCCAAGCCCAACGGAAAATACAAAATTGAACCACAACAGATGCAAATACAATTTACACCACTTGTAAAATCAAACCTAGCCTCTTCTCTGTGTAGTATAAAGACTGTGTGAAGGTTAGTCTCTTCATATTAACAGGACTCTTAAGGAATGTTGTCTATGATATACAAAATAATGTGCAAAAAAAAAGCATGATTGTATCCAAGGACAGAAATAGATGCATTCAATAAGGGAATAACAAGTGAAGTTGTGAAGTGATTGAATGATAGCTACTACCCAATCATAAGAGTATCTGTTTTCAGGTTTTAATTAAGCAATTTTGTTTAAAAGGAATGTGTCAGTTTATAATAATCCTACCTTTGATATCAATGAGCTGCTCCTCTGATACAGGTTCTCCACTGATGGGATCAGTTCCATTTTCAGCGATATATTTTTCAATCAGCCGTCTCTCAAACACACAGTTAGATGATGGTGAGACACATGGGTGTTCTGGAACCTCATTGCTAACTATACAAAGAATATTATAAGAATATAATGTTTAAAGCAATTATCATATTAAACCATACAACACACATATTATTCCAAACAGTAACAAATGCTGGAAACAATAGACTAACTCAAAAAATCAATTGGGGTTCCATGTTTGAAAATCTTACCAAAACACTATAACAGCATCATAGTCTTGAGATGCTGACAAGAGATCAACGAATGCACAAGTAACATACATTAACACTTGTATGGCTACAAATTGATTGCAGTTGTTGCCTTTCTGTCAACCAAAGCAACTCTATTGATGAAGTGTTTTAGTTTGTTTTATGCTGTCAAATAAAAAACTAGATCTAGTAGTTAACTGAGCCCAGTTGCTGAAATACCACTTATAAGAGCTAACCTTGCCTTGTCAACTTAGCCTAACAGAATTAATTAGGCCTTGTATTAGAGTTCAAAACTTAAACCTTAGCAATATTTTGAAAGGTCCAATAATTTCTTTTAAAATTGGCTTGTCTCTGAGTCAAAACTGACCATCCATATGAGAATCTAGAGAAAAATTTTCAGTTTGGTCGATCGCCCATTGGAGTCCACGTGAAAAAATATGTAAGTCAATTTCGGGCCCTGCTGACACTGTCTGACAGTATTTTCTACGATGGAACAAACTGAAAGGGATCAAATGGCCTAGATATTATGCCATTTAATACGTAACACTCTCAGCAAAATTAACAATTGACACTCGATCCTTGATCGATTATAAAACCGCTAACAACGAACACGCGACGTTCGAACGCAAATGACAACAACATTAGTTAGCTTATCAGCTTGCAGTGTCAGATATAAGTACAATCTGTAACACCAGTCGAAAACAACTATCAAAACACTTGGAAAATAACAAAATTTTGCAATCGATCGTTCTTACAATGAGGTTTAAAACGATGTACTGAGCTGTAACTTACTTGAACAGAAGAGCGCCATTTTGTTTCCTCGCAAAGCATGCGTAACAGCAAGGGATTATGGGAAGAATCTTGACCAGCTGATGCACAGGTAGACCAACTAAGGTCGTGCATTGGGGCTTACTGTTAAAAAATCGCCCAGACTCACAAACCGCCAACAGCGACCTCGAAAGGGAAATTTTGTCCCCCCGCAGGCTAGATAAATTACGAATGTGACACGAACTTAGTAGTAGAGCATATGGACTAGGTCATAGGTTCGATTCCTATTGGGAATAACACGGAATTTTTCTTCCGAGAGCCGCCTCTGGCCGTGAACGAAACATCATCTTCCACATGAAATACCTTTTATTTGTGTGTGTTTGTTGAAAGGTGGCACATGGTGTCTCCTAAAAAGAGAGTTAAAACAATAAAACTGTGCCTTCGGAACCTAAAATAAGTGTCCGTACGTCCGTTATAGCCAAAACCAATTGTATGTACAGTGGGAGTTTGTCTCAGTCAAACGTCTACAAGAACGCCCTGGGTGCCAAGGACGTTTTTACGCGAGCTGATTCCGAAACATTTGCGGCCATGCGCGAGAAAAAGCCTCTGTTAAGGAGCTCAGGATATTGTAAGTTTTTCCGGGAATTTCGCTACTGTCCGTATTATCTGGGGTATCTGTATTAGCGAGATATTAGCAAAGCGAGAGCTGACTATTTTATCCAAAATTATGGGCGAACCGGAGAGGATAAAGCCTCTCTTGAGGCGAATTAATCAGAACGGCTTACTGGGATGTAACGCACTAACTAGAACAGGACTCGTGGACTTGTGAGTTTCCGTGAATTTTTCCACTGATTTTATAGGCTGCGTAGCAGGCGCTAGGAAATAATGGGAGCAAGAAAGAATGGCCCCATTATTTCCTAGGTAGCAACTTTTGAAATTTAGTTAGCGACCTTCTGGATTTTTGCCCATTTTTTAGCAACTTTTTGGCATTCCAGTAAGCAACTCTCCAGCACTTTAAGACCATAATCGAGACAGGCCTAATTCCAATACGTCATAAGTGGCTGGCTATTACCAAAAAGAAAATACTGCACACATGATGAAATGGCGTTCAAAACTCTTGGAAAATGGTGACACTTACGCACAAAAACTTGTGGTAAAGACTGGAACTCTTTCTTAAAAATACGCCACCCCTATACTTCTCTCTAAAAATTCAACATTCCCGTTCATACATAATACTAACATGAAGCCTGTTTAAAGAGAATAATGGTAGCTGTGCTGCTGTAGTTACGTTTTCAAACCTAGATTCAAGCTCTATCGTGAGTCTGAGCTGGCATAGGACTACCTTAACTCATGAATATCAAACGGTCACAAACCTTTCGTGTAGGAGAAAAGCTATAATAGCCTCCCACGCAGGCATTTTGTAGGACTTTTTTGAAAAAAAAAATGGGCGTCTTTCCTGATCCCTCCCATTGGGGTATATTAGAAACCCGAAGCAAAAAATCATCTTGTGGGGAAAACCGAAAACCGGATGAAAGACGAGAGCAAACTAAACTAACCCTTTCACCAAAGTATTTGTGAAATGGACTTTGTCTGAAGTCTTCGTATCTTTTTTGTGTCTGTGGGTTTTGCCGCTCTCTCGAGCCCAGACTTTGCGGCTCAATTTCCGAAAAAGCCGCTAGTTAATGAACATCACGATTCCTCTTTAGAAACAATTTTGGAGTCAAAAAAAAAACTTCAATCGAAAACACACACACACACAACAAAGTTTGGAGACACGATTGTCAACATGCGATACAAACAGACAAAGAAAGTATTGTTAATGGCTAGGACTTTTGAAAAAAAAAAAAAACAATGTTTGACCTCACTGCTAAAACTAAAAACCACATGGCAAGAAACCGAAAAACCGGGATGCTGTCGAAACCGCAATTCCGACAAAACCGGTGACAAAACTAAAAACCGATCTAAAAAATAGCGGCCCAATGCCCCCCCTCCTAAAAAGTAGCGGCAGCAAGAAAGTGAAATCACGATAAAAAACAACCTAAGAAAAAACGAAAATACCCGCGTTTTTCAGTTTAGAATGCCGATCGGTTGGACATAAACTGCCTGTATGATCGATAACATGGTTGCAACTTTACAAACTTTAAACCGACCTTCCTGTCTCCAGTCAGCTTTCGGGCATTCTAAAATCAAAACCTCTTGGTGTATGGCCCGATTGTCGTAAGTCACCTTTGCTTCGTAATTTTTCGGTTACATTAAATTCTAAAATCAAAACCTGTTGAATAAAAAACAATGGGTTTAATTCCAAAACAACACAGGTCACTTTTTTTGCATTTCTTTTCCGTTTTGCACTGATACGGTTTTATGGAGGATTGTATCACCGAAAAGTTACCGGGACTTTCGAGAAACAAGCTCCTGGCCGCGGGAAAAATGGAACGAGATGTAAGTATAGTAACAGGTTATGGCTGACACTACAGCTGCCTCAGCTGTGAAGAGCTTGATTGTGTGTTTTACTATAGACCACCTGCATATTTTGACTGTACCTACTTCTTTATAAAAGCACGGACTACAGTGATGCTCCTCGGGATTCTGGGTAAATCATATATTTTTCTTTTTAGAATCCTTGTTCGTGTGTTCAGTAACCCATTTCTCGAAAATCCTTATAATTACCAGGCCGGAAAGTTGTTTTGTTTCTAGATCTTTATTCAAAATATTGCTTTGGGCCTGTAAAGATAACAGGACTTTTGAGAAACGGGTCCCAAATATGATAAGATAAGGTACAAAGAACAAATCATATTGTATCATGAGCAGTTTCTGGGTCCTAGTCACATGGGCAGACACACAGACAAAACAATAATATCACTATGTCCACAACTCAGAAACATTATTTTAATCATTTACAGTCTATTTTGGTGTTTTGAATTCACATCGCTTTTGTATGTTTACAGCAGCTATAATTTACTCTTATAATACAAAACAGTTTATGTAGGTGTATACATTTAATTTCTACTTAAGCTTACACTATTTTCTTTGCAATGAATTACCTTTGAAATCACATGCAACTTAACACCAGAAAACACCTAAACACCCTTTTTCTATCTTAGATGAATATTTATAGGTTCAAAAGAAATACTTGCTCACTAGGATTTGTGACATTGTAAAAAGAGAAACTGTTAAAAGACCATAACAAAATTACTAAAAACCTTCAATCATAACAAAAAAAAAATAATCATCTTTAGTCTGCCTCCATTACCAGAAGCACTTGTCATTGCAAATTTATCAATGTATTCTGTACAATACAAACAATGATGAGGAGTGTAAAACTATTTTTCTCATGGAGAGGATAAAGAAAACATCTTGAAAACTAAAGTTACGCACACTATTTACAGGAAAGAATGTACATATTATTTTACACTGAAATTGCTTTTGCTAATACCCTCACTGGACATTTACATGGCAACAACATGTACCCCTTTCAGTCTGGTCCATTTTGCTGCTGTGGCTGCTGCCTGTGCCGCCATCCCTTCTCTGGTGAACTTAACGGCGACACAATAATTTTTCCAACATCCTCTACTGCCATAGGACCATCTCCCTCAGGGGCCACTGTGTAAATAGCTGCAGGTACTCCCTGGGAGGAGTGACCCCGTGTCATCTGTACTCTTCCAGTATACGGAGTTTTTGGTGTTGTTGAAAGTCTTTCATTTGCTGAAATTGGAGGTAAGGGCTCAGGAGCAGCACGTACAACAACTTGGGGTTCAGGTCTAGTGCCGGTTTTCAGGAACTCGACATAATCATCTGGTAAAGGCTTGTCCCTCCCTGCAGATCGCTGCAAAGCTCTAGAAATTCCCAAGCCTGGTCTTGAGGGTGACGAAGCTCGTTTCGAGCGTAGAGGCATTCCTGTACTTGATTTTACTGGAGAAACATTGAGCTGAATCTCATTTGGAGAAGCCTGTATCCCCACAGCTCTTGAAGTCTTCATTTTGCTACTTAATGCCTTAACATCCTGTGAAGCTGGAGATGTTACAGATCGTCTATAACGTCGGTGCGAATTAGAAGGAGTACCCTCAGATGGTGGCACAGGTGTCCTTGAAGGTGGGGACGCCTCTACATGAGATGAAATAACGCCAGTAGTAACTACACTTTGAGCTGCTGTTTCCTTTGCTTCATGTGATACTTCTTTAGCATTTTTGACACTTGATGGTCTGCTTTGATTACGCCTTCCAGACTGACGAAGTTTATTACTATGTAGCTGGGAAGTCAGATAAGCAACAGTGTCCGATTTCTTCTCCAGTTCCTTTACTACCACAGCCAAATTAGAATCCTTATCAGAAAGATCTTTCACATACTTTTGGTTCAAAGTTTTTAACTGTCCTTCAAGTATGACAATCCTTTTATTCTTCACTTCAATAATCCCTTTAAGTTCCACATTCTCAGTTTTTAACTCATTTAAAATCTTTTCTGACTCATCAAAACTCTGCTTGGCTTGTCCTGTAAATGAACATAAATACCAAATTCAATTTAGCTGTTAGCATCTACATCAAACTCTTAAAGTATATATGTCCCTTGGATGAATTTCAAAACTCTTTTTTCATGTATTGAAGAGCTAACCACGTCTCTTTCAGTAGTTTAGTACGGCATTTGCCCTTGTTTTTGTTGGAGCTGAAGTTTCAATCCATCTTTCTGTCATTTGTTGCCAAAGAATGTCCTTTGAAAGAATTTTCCCTAAGAAGAACTCTGAATCTAATAAATTTTAATGTACGATCCCAAATTTAAAGACAAATTATTTGTCTTTAAATTTGGGATCATACATTAAATTTTTGTCATTCAACATATAAATGTCAAAACACTGATACTATTTCTAGTGTACAAAAAAATGCGGTTTCTTGAAGTACTTATGAGGCCAAAAAAAATTTATCTTACAGCCACGTTCTTGAATAATTAATAATTAAAAACCCAAGGAAAATCTATCCGCTCTAAAAGATGAATTGGATGCAACAGACGAAGGTTCTTAACGAATTAAAGTAATACTTCCCAAAAAACATGGATGCCAAAGAGATAGGAATTCAAAAAAAAAATAAATGAAGATCTCTCACTCAGGAATAAGTACAAGTACAGCAAATCACAAGTTGATGCATTCTTAAAGAAAATGTTTTTCCTTCGAAACCGGTTCATTAAAACATTTTTCGCCATTAAATTCAAGTCGAACTTTCAACACTTTTACACTATTTTAACACAAGAACTAAATAAATAGATATTGAAACTAAACTAAAAATTCGTTGGATTCTTCACGGGACGGAGACTTAATTGATTTCAAAAATATATTTTGTTATTTGGATAATTTTTTAAAAAAGGAAGGTAAAACATCTGTTCGCCTTTGTACCCGCGTAAATAATATTAAGCTTAGACTGAGAATATCACACGCAGAATCGAACGTCGCTGGAAATCATCCAAAACTTACCCTCATCTCCGCCAGAACTGGTAGCATTCATCGCTAATTTGAAAGTCAGTTCTAAAAATTAAAAAATAAAATGTTATTCTCACGAAATCAAACGGGAGTTTACGAGTAAAAATGACCCATACCTCCGCATTTCTTCTGAAGTTTATTGATTTCAGCGTAGAGCCCTTGCAGCGTTTTCGCATGTTCTTGTTGCATAAAAAGGATAGAACTTTCTGCATTTTGGAGTTGTACGCGAGCCTGAGCTAGAGTTCCCGCCATTCTGAATACCACCTTGCGATCGGCAGCGATGAAAACGAAGAAATCAATATAAAAATCCCAACCCCTAACTCAGTTGACCATATTTTCAATATGGCTGCTTCCCCGTTGCCACGAGCAGCAGAATATTTCTTCAAAAAACCTTGGCAAACCGGTTTCGTCACAATAAGCTCTTTACGTCATCATTTCCTTATAAATGAACATTTTTCATTGGTTGGCGTAGGACCGACCAATCAAAAGTAATCATCTATCGTCATCTATCTCTCTCGGCCTAAACATGCGCAGTCGGCCTGCGCGGTCCCCAAGGCAGGCGGGAAAATTGGTGGAGTGACGGCATATTTTGATTCCATTTTTCGTTTCGTTGCGCAGTTTTTTTCCCTTATGGGATGGCTACCGCTTCCCATACCAGCGGTGTGGTAGTTTGGGAATGGGAAGAACGAATAAATCTCTGGATTCCTTACGAAGTGGAGGCTGTTCATCACTTAGAGAGGAGCTTCTTAAGTATCAAACAAAGCACGTCCAAAAGGGTACCTCCAGTCAAGTTGGGAGATTGTTCCCGTGACTTAAGTGTTTATGAAGTTGATTTGACGAAAAACGAACAACGGAATTTGGAAACAGGTAAAAATCGTTGAATCATACATTTTAAATACAGGGTAATAGAGGAAAGGTGAAAAACTCTGAGACCGTTAGCAAAAGGCGGAAGTAATAAAGTAGGGAAATGTGACGTCATAAAAATTTGAATTTGTGAAATTATAGGTTGCCTGAGATATTTAGAAAGATCAAGACGAAAATGTTCACTTGTCAAAATTCAGCAGATCAGAGCATATTGCTATTAGATTTAAGGTACACTCCAAGCCAATTTTAGAAGGATCTGTAAGGTTGGAGTCAGGCGAGTGTGACATTTATATTTCACATACAATGTTGAAACCAGGTTTGGTGGAGAGAGGTGCTGGTATCCACGAGGCCTATGCAGAAGATTCACTTATAATGCAGTCTCTGGGGAGAACTGCATGACAAACTTTAAAACAATGCAGCTGAGAAATTAACTTGAAGACGCTTTGGGCTGTCATTGTTGCCTTAACGTGTTATTAAACCTTTTAGATGCTATTTTCAATAGTAAGAATGACATTTTGGTCTTTGAAGAAGTTAAAACTATAAAAGTAATCCAATTATCTTTTAGTCTTTCATTTATTGCATACAGGTGGTCATGTCCTTAATTAATTTTAACCTTTACTATTACAGGGTAATGGGCCCCAACCCCCCAAACAAGTGGTCATGTCCTTAATTTAACCGTTACTACCACATGGTAATGGGCCCCAACCCCCTATCTTCCTGAACAATTATCAAGGATCTAAGATGGCTGTGATACTTAATCAAAACATGCATGCTCAGTAGATTTCAGAGCCTTGTTTCACACAATAAACTACACAGACATGAAGCCAAGAAGTCATTTTATTATTCTGAAAATTAATAGAGACAACTATCCCTGCATTCACAAGATATTTAAGATAAAATCCCAAGTAAGGAAAAAATTCTAATTTGCTGCCATTTGCAGTGCCTATTGTCAAACTTTGAATGAGAATTTATTTTTAATCCATCGCAATATAGCTTACCTTTTTACAAGAAAACAAGGGAAATTTTTAGAAATATATATAACAAATATGCCAGATTTGTTTCCACTTTGTAGCCCTTGGGTGTTCTTCGCCCTGTTTATGCACCGTACGCATTTCCTTTTTCTGCCCTTCATAAGAGCTGAAACATATTGATTTGGGGGTACAGCATGGTTCAGTTTGGAATCTTGTTCCATCTACGCTTTTGCTTTCATTGCGAGAAACCATCGATTGTTGGTGTTTGTGTGAGGTCAAGTTTGAAATCAAGTGTTTTGCTCTTCAATCCAACACGTTCTGATTCAAGAACAAAAGCATTACAAAAAAATACATTAAAAAGAAACCAAAATATGTATCTATACCACTTTTTTGATTGCCACCCCGCATATGTAAAAAGAACGAAGCTGATAAGTACGATCCACGTCACACATGTCAGAATTTTAAACACCTGAAATTGAAACTAATAATAACTAGTAATAAGTAAGAAGTTAAGAACTAAAAACCTAACTTATACAAGCCACAGGTTAAAAATGTTAAAATGTCAGACAGATTAAAATATTAAAAGCTATAAAACATCTAAAATATACAGCTTTTAATGTTCTGTTTAAAAAGAAGAAGAGAGTTAATTTCTTTAAAAGATGCATCTGAAATGTTCCATTCCTTAGCGCATTGATAAAAAAGTCTGCTTTCTGTAATTCCTTTTAGCGAGAGGAAGACAGAAATTGTTCCTTCTTCTAGTGTTATAACTCTGGATGTCTGAGTTTCTCAAAGTATTAAAATTATTGTGATCCACAAGTCTGTGGATGTACTTAAAAGTGGTAATGTATCTACATACAAGGCGCTCTTGAGATAAGGTAGGCCATCCGAGTGTTTTGAGAGCATTGGTCGATGACCCATAGTTGGGCAATTCAAGGACAACTTTGGCAGCCTTATTTTGCAAGACCAGTAAATCATGCGTTAGTGTAATATTATCTCTGTCTCCCCAGTTGGTATCAGTGAAGTCAAAGAGAGGTCTTTTTAAGGCATTGTATAATGCGACTCATGCTTCCAAAGGCAATAGATGTTTGATACGATTTAACAAGCCAATTCTTTGATTCACTTTTGCAATCAATGATTCAATATGGTCATTCCAAGTCAGGTTCTTTTGAATGACAACACCTAGATACTTGATTGAATCTTCACTCTCAAGGTTTTCGTGATCAATAGCAAGCTTGATACCTTGGCAGGTTTGCAACCTTCGATCACCACCAGACAATGCAAACTTCAATTTCGATGTATTTAAGGTCAGATAGTTGTTGTTGTCGGCATTCAGCTGGTATTCAATGTTTTGACAGGAATTTACACTGAAGTAAATCACTGTGTCGTCGGCATACATGACTACCTGGCAATGCTCTATTAAAACAGTTGGGAAGGTCGTTAACGTATAGTGGAAAAAGAAGAGGCCCAAGGATGCTTCCTCATGGTACCCCAACAGGAACCTTTTGTTTAGTCGACTGGCAGTTTTCAGCAGATGTGACTCGATACCGACTTTCAAGGTATGAGGCAAACCAAAACACTTCACAACTTGAGAGCTAGCTCCAATGGTCTTGAGTTTTTCAACAAGAAGCACATGGTCCACTGTATTGAAAGCCTTCGAAAGATCTAAGAAAACTGCTCCAGTGAAGCCGCCTTTATCAAAACTAGTAGTATGTTGTCTGTAAAATGAGCAAGGGCAGTTACAGTTGCAAGTTTAGGATGGAAACCAAATTGATGTGGAGTAAGGAATTTACTCGCTGATAAAAACTTGCACAGCTGTTGGTACACAGCCTGCTTTAGGATCTTGCTAATGGTTGGGAGTACTGTGATTGGTGTGTAGTTGTTACCTTCGGTACGATCACCTCCTTTGAATAAAGCAGTCACCTTTAGTTACATTTCCAAATCGATGGAAAAGTGCTTGCCTCAAGTGACTGGTTAAAAAGTCTGGTCAGTATAGGTGCCATGCATTCAGCTGAGTCCTTCAATAATCGTGCACTAATACGATCCAGTCCTATAGCTTTGTTGGTTTTTAAGGTTTTCAAAGGCTTGAGAACAAAGGATTCTGTGATACTACAAAAGGAAAACGATATATTATTGCCGTTCCATCGCAAAAAGGTAGGTGAGAAAAACTTTCTGGAATTGCTGGCTATAAGCCGGAGTTTATCACTTGCAATTCAGTTGTGTCGCTTTTACTGTCTTCAGACTCACTTTCGCCACTTTCCTCCTTCCTCAGAAAATTCTTGCACTTCGATGTCAGATAAGTCTGTATCAACATTCACATCACTAAAGCTTAAATTACTCTTACTATCATTGTCAGAACCAAATATCACATTGATTCAGTGGCAGCAATATTGATAAACAGAGATAAAATACAAATCTAAAGCACGTCCAAATTTGTGCAACACAAATCTACTGAATATCTATATCTAGGTAATAGACAAATTAATGAAGGAAATGCTCAACCATCTAGCTTTTGGTGTGTTTTATGGTGTAAGAGAAATCTTTTACAAATCCCGTGCGTAAGATTCACCCACATACGTCTTCGTAGCGAATCCAAACTTCGGCCCTTCACTACCCGCCTCATGCAATAGTTTTGTATGTGCAGTTCATGTGATTTGATTGGTTTATGCCTGCACTTAACAATGGAACAATAATTATTGACAAAGACTGCCTTACCTAGGGCATACAGCACATTTTTTTGCACCCTTTTCTTGTGGCTGCTTCAGTAGTGAAAGGGTTAATACTGATTTCATAATAAATTCTTATCATACATTTCTTTTTATTATCTTAACTTTTTTCAGGTAGTGTACGCAGCATCAAAAGAAGTGTCTACCCAAGCAATTCTGTTCCTGGGAGAGGACTGAGATGGGAATGGTTTAGTGATTTTGCATGGGCAGCATATGATATTCCTACATCTGAAGCTATTGAGAAGAGTCATAGAGCTAATGAACAGTTTATAGATTTGAGCAATACTCCACTTGGAATCCCAAATGTTTTGGATATTCAGGCAAAGATACAATTTAATAAACATACAACTTTTCGAAGGCGTGTCCGTAGGTTAACCGGTCAAAAGTACCCCACAGCTGGAACTCAAGACATTAGTTCTCCTAGTATGTCACCAAATAACAGTTTGCATGCCACAGCTACTGTCAATGGCCAAGTGACTTCAAGTAACATCAGAGCTTCAAAATCTGGTGTTACCAGTAAAGGTGCAAAGACTGCAGTTAGAGGATCAAGATCTAAAAAAGTTAAGGTGGAGCAATCCCAAGGTAATACCTGTTTTTCTCAAACTCTACAATTATTCCATAGTGAAAAAATAAAGGCAATCGCTGCTGTGAACAAGGATTGGGTCTTTGTGTCTAATAAATTTCTACATCAGTTCGCAAGCTAGAGCCTTAAAATTAATCTCTTTACTTTACTACAGGATAATTTTGTTTGGCTAGTTATTCAAGAATAATAATGATTAACAATAATGTTTATGCTACCACTACTACTGATAATAATAATAATAATAATAATAATAATAATCCTAGGAATGGTGCACATACTGAGAAGGTTTCTGTCCATAAATAAAAAACTCCCCTGGTACCTCAGGATTAAGGATTGGCCCCGGTTCTAGGAGAGTGTAGGAGGCAATATTAATAGCACTGAAAACGTTTATAATAATAACTTTGTTGGGTTAACGCAAATTACTGATAAAGCCAGTATTTCTAGGTAGTCTAATGTAGACCACAGCTTAAGACAATCAGTAAAACCCCAAATTATTTCATTCATCTACATGAATATGTTACAGGTCAAAATTAAATTCAGGTTAACTACGTTGATTCTCAATTTCCTTTATCTCCTAGCCCTAATTATTCATGAATTAGGGCTAGGAGGCAAAGGAAATTGCAAAAAAATTATTAATATTATTAATTACAAAATTTTAACCTGAATGTAATTTTGACCTGTAACATATATGCCTTCTTAATGCTTATGATAAAATAATGCTTAGATGCCATGATTAGCCATGAACTTGAACAGTGGCTAAACTCCTTTTTAATAGCCAATCAGTGTTTTGTATAGATTTTTTTTGTTTCTTCAAAGGTGAATTTACTGCTACTGGTGGAGATCCTCTCTCTAAATTCTGCCATGATTTGAAAACTGCTCCTGATGAGGTAATTTTGCTTGTAATTGTGTATATAACAAGTAACCCAGCTTACTCAATCAGGTGGTAATCAAGAATGAATGTTACAACTCATCCTCCTTACCATGCCACAGCAGTCACCTAATTTCTGTAATGTAGCTTTACGTTGTTTTGATGTTGTAGAACCTCTGATTGAGGCAAATGAATGAGTTGACATCAAACTTAAGATTAAAAGGAAAATATAAGCATTAGACTGGACCCTGCCTTATGACCACCCCATTATCCAGTCCTGAGGAGCACTTGAATTTCAGCTTGTCCTTTGGATAAGCAGTGCTGAAATATATGCTATTAAGGGCCTTGTCTAAGTTATGATTTAGATATAAATATGTGTTCTTGACCAAGCATGAGGAGGTCAAGATGGCTGGATATTGGCCAAGTTGTTTTTTGCTTATTTATGGACCAAGACAAAGTTAAGGTCATGGGCCCATCTTTCCATCTTGATCGTCTTCCATTCAGAACGCAGGGTTTGCTTCAGCTTGCCCACTTGCAGATTCAGCTACATTTATATAACAAGAAGAGTTATTAGAGAGATTAAGTATCGCATTTACGGCAAACGTGAATTTGTACCGCGTGACCAATTTTCCCCTTTACTTGTCATCAATTTACTGTTCATTATAACTGCACGAAAATCAGTTGATTCACTCCAATTCTGTCCATGTTTTGAGCTCTTTTATCTGCTCATTTCTCATTTTGAAAATTTCTTAACTTGAATCTCACGTTTGCTGTTTGGCATGAATGCGATGCTTAATCATGACTTGGGCATGACTTACCAGACAGGGAAATTTATTTGTCGTGCATGACTGGACAGGACCTTTTTGCAAGCCCTGATTATTTGAAATGACTACGTTAGTAGTGAGTGTGGCCACATTCTTTCATCCCAAACATAAATCACTCAGGGTTTTCTTACCTGAAACCCTTATTAATACTTACCAAATTTTCATGCTTTTTGTAAGTGTTGTAAACGGGAGTTGATTTCGTGGCCAACAGATAAGTGTCGACTGCTTAAGTATCTCTAGACTTGGCCGGTTTCGGGCTATCAATATTCTAAGAGACTTGCACACACTCAAGTCCTGATCACGTTCACATTCATCGTTTATTGCTAAATCAAGGTACTTTTATACATATTGGTAGCTAAATCATACATGGGAAAATATAGTAGGGAATGCATGTGGTTTCCTTTCTAGTAAACACCCTAATTCGATTGAAAGCTTAAAACACTATTACTCCTACATTACTTACGTAAATCCTGAGCGGCTAGGTTTGAGTAATCATTCCATCCTACACAAAATCCTATCAGTTTAAAAGGTGTAGCTTGCAGCTTTTACGCTATTCCAATCGAAAGGCACATCTAACTATCTACTTTACACGATGCACATTTTTGCACGCTTGCTTACACAGTAGGGATCATATTTCCGGTTCCTATCAAGCTAGTAATTGATCTATTGTTCACTCAAGATTAACAAGTCACGATTCATTGTACAAAGTGTCACGAATTCTTTAACTTTACTACAATGGTTACATTAATGGGGTTTCAACATAACCAAGAAAGAATAAATCCTGGAGGAAATAAATAAAGAAATATCCTACACCGTAGATTTGAAAAAAATAGTAACTTTGTCAGATTATTTTGGTTTGCGTACCAGTGCAACAATGGTTTTAAAGAAAAAACAAAACTGGATTATAAACAAGAGCAATGAGATAGCGATAAAGAGACATTCAAGTGTTTTGTGATTATCTTTTCGTAAATTTAAAAGTAAATCTTTTTAATAAGTTTCTTTTGTTTCTAGGATTGTGCCATTTGTTTTGAAAAACTCTGTAACATCTCCTCATTTCATGATGAATGTGAAAGCACCAAAGAAGCTTGCCCCATCAAACAGCTGGACAAATGCAAGCATTCATTTCATGCCTCTTGTTTGCAGGCAATGTACAACAGTGGAGCAAAAGTAAGTGACTTATAGATTTCTTCACCGTAATAACTGTGGTCTGAGACAAGATTTTAAGGGATCAAGCAAACAGGTGCATGGGAAAAGGCTCTAAATGAATGATAAATTTTCACATTACTTGGAGGTCTTTTCCGAGTACCTTACCAATTAAGCAACAATATTGCGTTAGAGTAAAAGCCATTTTAAGGTACCTTTATGTAGTTACAAGTTAGCTAGTCCCTTTTAGGTCTCCTTCTAAATTACATTATACTTAATTACAAACTTGATTTCACAATGACTAGTGTTTTTTTTTTTCACAATAAACTAAGGATCTGGTAACTGGCAGTGTTCTATTATATGCTAACATTATTTTTTTCACCATCACTAAAATTTTGGGCGACCTTGCAGCTCTCGCAAGACCTTATGGGATTGGTTAGAAAGCAATGAACAAAGTTAACAAAGGAACCTAGTGCAAAAACAAAAGAGCTGCTACCTATAGGGGTCCAGAGGTTCTGAAGAGCTGTAAGGCTGATGAAAATTTCGAGGTGGCAGCAGTTATTTGTGACCATAGCATAAACAGGCAGTTTAATATTATTGTTGTGTTTTAGAACATCACAAGAAGTAACAATCAACAAACAACACTTTATACACGTACTTCAACAGGACTCAGTGGTTTGTTGCTTTACCTCAATTTTTCAAAAAAAAATTTTATATTCCCAGGATGGAAGTTTGCAGTGCCCAACTTGTAAGGCAATTCATGGTGTTAAACATGGTATTCAGCCAAAGGAGGGTAACATGGATGTGCGTCGCTTACACCAAAGCCTTCCTGGACACCCTGACTGTGGAATGATTACAATAACTTATGACTTTAGAGGAGGAATACAGGCATGTCGCATTCAAACGTTTGCATTTACAGAGAAGAGAGTAACTTATCCTTAATACAATAATTAAAGCAGGCTGTGCCCCATTTCACTCAGTCACATAATGGCAGGCAATTTTAATGAACAGTTACTTAGATGAAGTGTTGAATGATATTATTAATTTACATGCAGTACATGCGAAAATCTTTCTTGGACGAGTTTTTCAAAGCTGGGTTAAGATAACCCAGGGTTAGTGCAAGATTTGAATTCAGATTTGAAAGCTAAAAAGCATTTGAGTTTTAATTCTTTTTGTCTACAAGTCGTAGATTAGAAGCACTAAAAATAACAGAGAAAATTATCCGAGAAAATGCTATTTAACCCCAGGCTAAGCGCCTATCGGCCTTTGAACAACTGAGCCCTGACTCTGAATATCAGCAATTATTGTCCTCTAGACGGTATCTTACAGTGAGACTTTATCCTTTTCAATACCTTCAAAAGCTGGAGGAGAATAGGAGACTAACAAAACATTGATATTTCAGGGACCAGAACATCCTAATCCTGGAGAAAGATACAGTGCAAGGGGTTTTCCAAGAACATGTTACCTTCCCGATAACCAGAAAGGAAACAAGGTGGTGTTACATGATTTATTTTATCCTTTAGTAGGCCCTTAATGACATACATCTAAATTTGAGGACCCTGTGTATTTTATTCCCTTATTTTCATTTTTTTTCATTGAAGCTGTGGCCCCCAACATTTCACAGCTTTTCGTCTAAACTGTCATATTCTGATAGATGTTTATCTTTGAAAATCTGCAGACTTTCTTTGGATATGATAAAGTCCTCTACAAAAAATTCTGGTAGTCCAGATAAATATTATTATTTTATCTTACATGTTTGATTAAAAAAATGTCTCAAGAGTCTGGCAGGTAAGACTCAGTCATGACTATTTTTTGACCGAAAGAAGTGGGTTGAAAGCTGTAGGCAAGTTTTTTAAACTACCATAACTTTGAGGTTTCAGTTTGAAGCCGAAGCCTTCGCAGCATGATTCATTCTCTTGTTGTGACAGGTTTTAAGGCTTCTCAAAGAAGCCTGGAAACGAAGACTAGTGTTCACCATAGGAACATCATCAACAACTGGGGAACAAGACACGGTCGTTTGGAATGAAATTCATCATAAAACAGAAGCATTTTCAAACCACATGGGACATGGCTATCCAGACCCTAATTACTTGGATAATATTCTTGCTGAATTGGCTGCACAAGGTGTTGAAGATGATGTTGAAATCACAGTTGTCTAATTAAAAATGGGATAAAACTGCCCAGCAAAGAAAGCGAAGGCCTCGAAAGATCCATGATGACACTGACTTACATTGTAAATTATACTCATAACACATTGTTAAATAAACAAGGCTTTTGTGTTAACACAGTCCCAACCGTTACTGTTCTTAACTACAGGTAGCTAGGGCAATACAAAGAAAATCATTTTTAGTCCCAGTTGATTTCTACAACAGTTACTGTTCTTAACTACAGGTAGCAGAATTGATTTGACAGTTCTTCTGTTATTCAAATTCCTCAGGCAACCATCGGGCAAGAAAAACAGGGTGAAAAAAAATAATTTTACAGAGATAACAGGGTGCAAATATTATTATAGAAAATCATTTTTAAAATGAAATACAGCTTGCCATAGGAGGCAAAGAGTGAGCAAGTTTGAATATTTTTGGTATTTACTAGCCCAGATGTCATTTTTTACAAATAGCCCTAAAAAGGCAATTTTACTTGACAAGCAGAATTGATTTGACAGTTCTTCTGTTATTCAAATTCCTCATTTTGAAAAACATTCATCTAAAACTCTTCTGGTCGTACTTTCCTGTATTAAATTTAACTTTCTACTTCAGTCTGACCAGAGGATAAAAACAGAATTCAGTAGCCTGAAAGCAAAATCAACTGTATTTTAGTATTGGTTTTAGTATTGTTTCCAGTTTATTAACCAATATTGTTGTTGTTGCTTGGTTGGTAATAGTTTTACAAATTAATTTTATCACCATCAAAGTGAGGTACCTGATAATAATTTTTGTAAAGGAGACAACAACATTAATAACCTTAAGATCGGCCTGCATTTAGTGTTTTACTATGACAAACAGATCATGTTGACAACATTAATCATTTTTAGTACAGTGCAGCTGTCAGAGGTAGCCAAGGTAGATTTATTACCAGTTACATACTATATAAACTTCTTTTCTTGAGAAAGGACTGAGAGGGGTCATTAGTACCCCCTACCTACATCTCAGTTCTCTAACTTGTAAAGAGATGGTTTGGTAACACCAAAATGAGCTGTTGGAGTGTGGCAAAGACTGATTTTATATGATCATCTTTACAAAAGATGTCCAATCAAACATTAATTTTCCTTTTGAGGTGTACTGAGTGTCCTGTTTTTGATTAAAAAAAATTTATTTAAACAATGGAATACCATTCTACACATTCGGATTTGCCATTACATTTTATTATAGTATTTTTAAAAGACAAAGGACACCCTTCTAGGGTAAAATTCCAGCAAGCAACATGGCCTTGAAACAGCAACATAAGGCTGCAGCAATGGCGTGAACAAATGACACAAAGATGGCTTGAAACTGCTACAGCGACAGGAAAAGCACAAATACAATAGTAAAATACAACAGCAACATGGCTTCCCCCTCAATACACAAAACAACAGGTGTTGAAATCAGCCGTGAGAATAGGGAGGGTCTCATTGACTGAATTGCAGATTCAGTGTTCCTCAAAACTTGCTATCTGTCTTTTTTAACTTTTAACCTGGCCCCAGTTGTTCGAAAGTTGGATATTGGTATCCACCGGATAAATCACTGTCCAGTGGATAAGTGTTAGGGAAACCAATTATTGCGCTATCCACTGGATAGAGATTTATCGGGTGGATAGCGTTATCCACCTTTTGAACAACTGGGGCCAGGATGTTACAAATTGCTATTTTCGATGCTCAATAGTAATCGATCAAAATTGATTACAATTTATCGATTAATATCGAAAATCTATGGAAATCGATCAGTCGAGTTTTTGTGGTTATCGATTTCTGTAATTAAACGATCGATTTTATCGCTTTTGATTGAAAAATATCCAAAACATAAAAAACATAACCACTCATTAAGTCAACAGACGTACCGCTTCCTCTACCCTGCGAACAGAGTCTCCTTCGATCTTCCGCTTCCTCTTTCCCGACTTATCTAGGAAAGATCGAAGCGACTCTGCTAGCAGGGTACTTGCTAGTTCAGCTTTGCACGGAAAAAAAAAATGAGTGACTCTAGCCAAATGTGTGATTATCGATTGTTATAACTAATCAATCGATAAATATCGAGTATTATCAAGTACTATTGCTTAATCGATTACGTTTTCGATCATCGATTTTGATCGCTTTGTAACGTCCTGTTTTAACCCACATCATTAATTTATAACAACTGATGGAAAAAGAAACGTTATAGCCTCTCTTTCAAAACAAGTAAGTTCTGGATGCCAGAGATCCAACATAAGGACAACTCGGTCACCATCCATCCCCCTGTTCCATGCTTCATGGAGAAAAGAATCGTCAAATAACAAGAGTTCATTCTCTTTCCATTTCCTTTCCACTCCATTCACACGCAAACAACATCCTTTTGGAACAAACAAAGGTACGTGACATCTTATTCGACAGTTTGTGGGACCGTAATGTTCAGTTATGTGTGTTCTGGGTCTGATTACTGAAAACAGCGCATTCCCAAATGAACAACCTCTAATGAATGGTTCAATTGACTCTATGACTTGTACAGTATATGGACACAAGTTACAGTTTCTTGTGACTTTTTCGCCTTGATTAAATAGATGATAAACTAACCATTCTCCATCAGGAGTTGTGTTTTTAACCCACCCCTCGCCTTTATTTAATCTTATCCGCGTAAATTCTGATTTTATCAATTCATAATTCAGTTCCACACTCAACGTCCTTAGTAGTTCCAAGCCATCAAAATTATACCAAGGCTTGCAGCTAAGGCCTTTAATATAAATTACTGTTGGTTTCTGGGCAGATACTCCATCAGCCTTCTGTGCTTTAGTCTTGTATTGTTGAACGCTTTTGTAAATGCGTTCAAGGTTGGCTCTGCCCCCTCTTACACGTACGAATTCATTCAACTTCTGTGACAAAACGCCAATCGCCATTGTGTGGTTTCTGGAAGAACATCGGATGCACTGAGAAGAGGAGCAGAAATTTGTCTCGTCCGAATTCGATTTAGCAGCATCGTCTTGATTATTCACCTTTTTACTAACCAAACTTGCAATAAGCACCACAATCACAGCGATTAAAGCTTTAAGGAGGCCACTGTAGACAAACGAATAACTTTGTGAAAGAAAGTTGTCCTCTTCCGCCATGTTTGTCAAACTAACTCGGTTCCAGGTTCTTCTCCATGTTTACTCAAATGACCGCCGATAATAGGCCTTTTTGAACGTCTTCGAAGAATTCCAAATATTTAAACGAATCTTTGAACCACAAGATCTCTTCTTTGGTGGGTTGTTTTAAGAAGATAAATGCTTTTCTAGTCTTCCTCTATATGCTTTCATAAAACTGTTCACAATAAACGATGCTTAGATAAAATCGTTGGGCAAATTGAAAATGACTTAGGATCACTTAGAGCGCGGTTTTGTTAAACACTGGCTAAACTACGTTTTATATTTGGCCCACTGCATTTCTGTTCAGCCATCCTCGAAAATTTGATCATTTAACTGATTGCTCTTTTCTCCTTGTTTTAGAGTGGCTATGTATTTACTATTATTAAAATTTGTTGTAACTAATAATGTTTCAGGGGTACCCAACGACAATTTTCGGAAGAATATCTGTTCGGAAGACGATTTGAGATCTAGAATTTTCGAAACATTTGTTGTAAAATTTCTTGTTTGCCTGCCTCTCCTAGGATTTTCGAACATCTAAAAAATGGTATAATTGCCTATTTTTAACGGATTTTTACCCTAAAAAGGTCACCTAGAATTTTCGGGAGCCTTTTTTCTGGCTGAAATTTTCGAAAAGGTAAGTTTTGATCCCTATAATTTTCGGATCACTAGACTTTCAGCTAGGAAATCCGAACAGATGAAAAATTTTTAGGGGATAAAAATATGCCTATATCTAACGTTTAAATACTAAAATACGTTTAACAATGCTATGTTTAAGTGGTTTTGAAGTATATTCTCGTTGGGTGCCCCTGATGTTTGCCTGTCTCCTCCATCTTGAACGTGTTGAACCATCTATTATTCAGTGACAGGAGCCTATTAAAGGCTCCTGCCAGTGATTATTATTTACCAGTTTTTATCACCTCCTTGGTGTCTTCTATTTGCTAAAGAAATGCGACGTCTTCTTCAATTTTTAGATATTTTCGAACCTTGAAAGAAATGACTCAAAATATCTTGCGAAAGCTTCTTTCTGTCCTTTAATATTAGGGACTTTAAGATCCAACGACGCGGACGGCAACGAGAACGTCAAAAAAACAATAGGTTTAATTAGCAAAACAACAACTTCGCACGTGCATCACACTTTTTTGTACATTTCTTTCCCGTTTTTGCACGACTACGACGTGAAAATGCCTATAAATTTCGCGTTTTATGGAGGACGTAAACAAGCAACGACGAAAATTTATTTCTCTTTCTGAGCTTGAATTTGGTCCCTTGAAATTCAGCTTCAGGAAGGTTCGCCTACAATTGACAAAGTAAGTAGGTAGGAATAATCGCGATAAAGACTGAAAGAACGCAAATTCACTTTTTAAGCGACGTTCTTGTCGCCGTCGCGTCGTTGGATCCTAAAGTCCCTATTGTCTTTAAAGATCATCCTCCTGTTTCAGTTTCTGTTGTCGAGCTGGCAGAAGTGGGGTTGTTCGAAACGTGCGCGTTATCTATCTGCTCGCACAGATTCATTTGTGACGTCATAATTAAAGATTTTCGTGGTAATTTCTGTGAAATTCATGATTAATTGACACCCAATTTGTTTCGTACTTTTCTAATATGAGTTTGAAAGAGTCTTTGGAGGAATCTCAGGTTCGATGTAATTCTACATTATTACTGCACGACCTTCCAGATTCAATAATACTGCAAGTATTTAGTAAATTTACCATCAAAGAACGCCTCCTATTCCGTCGAGTTTGTTGGAAATGGCATCACCTTCTCAATGATTACAGCGTCTGGAGAAGCAT